ATATTTTACATGGAGAAAATAAAACAGGATTGGTCCATTCATGTGTGCTCTGTATTTTATTCATGAGGACAGACTCTAGCATCAGCTGAAGTGTGTGCTGCTCGTGCTTGCTGCACATACGTAAGCGATTGGTACCAGTGTAGAATGTGTGAGTTGAGGGAGTGCATACAGTTCGTTGTGAAGCTTTTAGACGGTCAGATATAACCACACGTGCAGACCAGAGATGTCTACTACATCCTTCTATCTTTGGAGAGAATAATGCATGGTAAAAATAAATAAATAAATAGAACCGAACACCTGACCCCTCACCTGACCTTTACAGAATTGTAGCCCCAAAGGAATTTTAGCATTTTTTTAATGCTTTAATTAAATTCTTATTTGTGGTCACTGTTACAGCACAGGTATACTTCTGTTGACTTCAATGGTCTTTTTTAAATGTTTGACATGTCGATTCAAAAATGTTTTCCCATGATTGAATTAACTTCTCCCAAACAAGAGGTTTAAGTTTTCATCATCCTCAATCCATTGTGATTAATTTTCTTGCACCAAATTAATAAAAGATTTCAGTGTAGCAAAGTGTATCCCCTCTAACATCCTTGATCTTTTTTTAATATTAACTGTACGGTCGATGGCCTAATTATGTTAGACAACAACAAGTCTGAACCCATTCACCTGAGAGACCTTCTAAAATGTTGCTGGACTATTATCTACTGGCCTTATGTTTGGATTTGATGAAGATTTTTTTGCACAATGGCTGACCCTTTTGATAACCTTCTTAATTCAAAGTGATGCTCTTTCACTGAATTTAATTGAAGGTCACCTCGTGTTTCTTTGGTTGTTGCTATTTTTTAATGCTTTTCGTTTAAATGATTACTCACAGCTTATAATGTAATTGTAAAAAATAATATGATTTCTAACAAATTCACAAGCCTGCTTTGATTCTCTTTGTGTGGCTCTTTGAAATATATATGATACATATACAGTATATATATATATATATATATTTAAATGTGGAGTCATTGAAATCTTAAAAGACTGTGATTTGACTGTCCGACTTCTTCCTGGAGGAGCTCCTCAGTTACATAAAGCATTTCAAATTAATTGAGGTTAACGTGAATTTACACCTTGCATTACTTGCCATGTGAGCTGAAAGCCTGTGATAACAGCTGCATAATGAGGCTCAGGAGAGGAGCTTTCAAAACAGTGTCGATGTTATGAGCTTTTCTGTTTTACAGTGGAGGTGTAGCCGTGTGGAGCAGCAGCGCTGCACTGGAAACATGAGATCCAGTGTCTGCAGTGACTTTTAAAGATAAGACAAAATCTGATCTGATCTGTTTGCTGTTAGCCACTGTGAATCAATACAATCTATATATCACAGTAAAATATAGTTCTGTTCATCGTCAACGCTCCAAGTGTGTGTGTTAATTCTATAGTGTTGGAGGTTGATGTAAAAGGGGCATTGACACAAGCCGGCATTGCAGCTAGGGGGTAAACAATGGGAGGGTTGTTGAAGATTAGAATGTTAAAGATGTGATAATGAAGATATGAAGCTGAACGTGTGGGAAATGAGGTGAAACAGGAGGAAACACAAGAGAGACCAGAAAGAGACAGAGGAGAGAATTAAGACATAAATCCTATAAATCCTGAGAGAGGCTTCAGGTTTACTACAAGACACGATTCTGTACCACTTTTTAAAAAATGATCTACTACTTTCATTTAGTCCCCTGTTTGTTGCAGTTTCTTTCCATTTTTTAAACAGTTTCCTGTGAGAGATCAAAATGGACAGGATTAGAAATGAGCAGATCAGAGGGGCAGTTAAGGTGGAGCAGTTTGGAGAAGTTAGAGAACTGAGGTCGAGGCTGTTTACTCTGTAAAGGCTTTCCACTAGAACCAGCTGGGCAGCAGTCGGCCGGTGTTTGTTTGTTTGTTGTGTCTCATCATCCTCATGGGTTTTCATTGAAGTAGGTCAACGATGTCAGCAGTTTGGCTTTTTATCATCAGGCATGAGGACAGGAGCAAAACTTCCTGTTAAGATCTGTTCTGTTATGATGTGAGCCATCGGACAAAAACAGCCATAGTTGAACCATTGCTCAGAAAGGCTGATGTGTTTTCTCAGTTTAACGGCAAAGTGGACAGATGAGGGAGTTTACACCTCATCAAATGTGTGTTTGGTCTGCTCACTTTCTGTTCAGCTGGCTGTGTGAACCATGACATCTTTTGTCATTATTTTACCTTTTTTAAGTACACAAATTAAAAACTCAAATTTCCTTCTCAAATTTCTGCAAATCTGCAAATCCAGAATGGCTGGTGGCTCACCAGATTGTGTCAAACTTTGTGGAGGAATTGTTTGTAAGATTGCAGCGTTGAACACTGGTTTATACTACATGTATCAGTTTTAGTTCCTGCCTGCAGCCAGTCTGCATGGAGCAGATAATGAAGAGTGGCTTTACATCATCAGAGCCTCGTCCCTGGGGGGTGAGCAGTTGGATTAACCCCAGCACCACAGCTCTATTCCACTGTTTATCTACTTTTTTACATTTAATGACTGGCACTTAGTGTTCCCATTGTTGGTAAAGCGCTCCCTCTGTGTGTGTTTGTGTGTGCGTTTGTCCATGAGTGGGTTTTTACTCCTGCTGCAGGGGTCCACAGCACATCTCAGGCTGCTATGGCAACTAGCCTGGCACCCCCACTGATGCTGTTGCCTCATAGCAAGTGAGCATGCACAGAAACGCACACGCACACACAACCACGTCGGCACTGCGGCCACATGGCTTTAAGTGTGACACAGAGTTACACAAAATTTACTGCACAGAGATGAGGGATGGCGTGGAGAGGGTCAGCATGATGTAGGAGCTGACAGGTGCCCAACCTGTTTTTCATATAGTTTCTGTAATATAGAATACATGTATAAATATTGTTATTGTGAGCGTTGTGTTAAGAAGAAATTCATTTTAAAAAAAGCAGGTGGTTCTTTATCGGGAAATATATGGCTTGACTTTCCTTTTGCTTATGTGCAAATTATTATTGCCGTATCCACACACACACTGATCTCTGGAGCACTGACAGAGTATGAGCTGCGGATGGGTATTTTGCACTTGGTTTGTATAATCAGAATATATTCTTCACCTTTATTCAATTAATTACGGTGCTTTCATAGAGTTTGTGTAACTTTTTTCACATCATTTTTTTATTAAACATTTTGTGCACCAAATGCTTAGCTTTAGCATCCCTGTGCCTCAGTTGTTTCACCAAGATGGACTTTGTAAATACCTGACACTTATGGTTTTTTCTATAAAATCATTTTTCAAATTGCAGGACTAATTCACTCGACAGTATTTGCACTTGGAGTCACTTTTGTCTGTTTTTCTGTGTCATTTTGTTGAAAGGATCATTGTGTATGAAATATTAAAATGTGAGTGGAGCGTTCACTCTTTCTCTGAAAACCTAATATTTAACAGACTGTATGACTCATGTCCATTACTAATTCACCACTGCTCATCTCAGACTGTGATGCATTGTTCTTAGCTGTGCTAATGCTGGCAGTCACTCTCCTCATCTGCAAACTCTTCTCTTCACCCTCCATACAGTTTGTGTTGCACTGATTAGTCCGTTTGTTGCCTGCTTTTGTCAGGAAGCTGCCCACGTGAGGGAAGGTGCTGCTGATACACAGTACACTGTAAAGTAAATGTAAAATAAAATGCTATTAGGAATACAGAGAAAAGAGGTGAGTAACTGAATTGAAGGGCTTCTAGAAAGTTCTCCACTTTGCCTCTGATTCCCAAATTTGTCATTATGTCTGTTTTCGGTGGAAATACATCTGTGATCACAACCACTTTGTTTTTTATCTCTCTGCTTCTCCGTGTTTATCTGCAAACGTGTGAGCCATATGTATTCATATATTAATATAATAAATAAAGATATAATGGAGGCAGAATACTGCAGGATTGGGATTCTGTTCCCAAACGCCTCAGGCCTTCAGTGAGCTGAGGTCTAGAACTGAGCTGAGGAGGTGGGAAAGCACGGACACTGTTGCCGTAACACATTGGCTCGGCACTGAACGAATAGTGAGATGATGCAGAACTTGCACCATGCTGTTTGGTCACAGTGTCCCTCACACAATGGGGATTTTCAATTCTGGATGAAGAAGCTGATGCAGCAGCACAGATTACTAAGAACCAGGATGTAGGTTTTATTTACTCACTGTTATTAAAGATAAGAGTGATACGAATCACAGATAAGGTTTCATCTCATTAGTCTGACATTGAAACTTTTTTAAAATAAAACTAAATGCTTCTTTGTTGTGTGTTTAGTGCATATTAGTGAATTGATGGGAGCTTGTGAAATACACATGATCGAAAGTTTGTAACTTATGTCTCGCTGCTGTTTGATACTTCAGCATTATGTGGTTAAAAATATGTAAGTCCAAAAGCACAGCTTTTACTTTAAATACATCTCTTCATCCTTCATATTGACAATTCCAATCCTGTTAATTTTTCCATTAAAACAAAGAGGCGGAGGATGAGGTAATTCGGGTTTGCTCGTCTAATGCTGATTTAAAGCAGCACCAAGCGTCTTTCTGGCTTCGTCATCCTCTTTGTGCCTTCACAAAGGCCTGGGCCTGTCATCTGCTCCCTCGGAGATGAAACAGCATCACCATCCTTCTGCTTTCAGTCCACTCGGTGTCTGGGCTTTGTGTTTATTTTTTGCAATATGTATGAATCCTTTCAAGTGTATGTGTGTGAACGTGCGTTTGTTGTAATCCCAAAGACGTGCAGACCATACAACAGTGCCATGGATGGTGACGATGGTGAAGCAGAGTCAGGGACCAATATATAAAATTGTGTGTAGATGTCAGAAGTCGTGTCTGTCAGTGTGTGGGTGTGTGTTTGGAGTCAAGAAGGACTGTTACTTGAACACGACAGTTGTGTAAAAATGCAGTCAGAGATTTCCTATGTGTGACTCCATGAGTCAAACTTATACACTCGCTGAGGCCAGACGTGTTTAAGTAAAAATACAGTTTATTTCAAGACTGGTTAAAATTAGACACTGACCCATAAACTATGAGGAACCAGTTATTGAAGCGTTCTTGTCAAATGGTCAAACCACTGAACACAGATGGGATACTCCGAATGTGTGCTGGCATACAAACTGCAAAAAGAACATTACTGTTACACATTTGTTCAATGATTAGATGATAGAAGTCAAACAGAACCAGAAATGAAAATGGTATAAATTGAAACTAATGCAGTGGACACACTAGTTAACTGTAGAATGGTGGCAAAACATTAATACTGCTAGTCAGAAGAAGTTCTAGTTCTAGAACCAGTGACACAGTTTTCACACAATTTCATTAATATTGCATTCAATGAACAGGAACACACAAATATCTGTAGAGAAATGACACGTGTGGCAAAAAAAAGCAGCGCAGGTTTTTCTGGGATTAAGAGGCTTCGTGGGCTTACGGTGGTTTATTTTTGTTTGCTGTATCTGGTCCAGTTTGTTCACTAACAGAGAGTCAGAAATGATCATCAAATTATTAAGCCTTATGAGTAATAGTTTTAATACATTTCATAACATGACTTTTGTTTGTAGCCCTCGTGAGTTGGTGCCAAAAGTCAATTCTGTATGTCTTCACTTACCTGACAAACATAAACAACCCCAGTCAAACACCTTATAACCTCAGTACATCAATGCAGTCTATCATGTTTCTCAATTTTCCTGTGGTAGTTTTACAGCCCAGACCTGGGCGACATTATAAAACAAAGTCTATCAAAGTATGAATCTTTTCCCTAAGTATGTTCAGCCTTGCTTTGTTCTCAATGCCAGCTGGAGAAAACAAACTTTGTGAAGTCTGAAGTCTGTGATATGGACACAGTGTTGACTGGTAAAAATGTGTCCCGAGAGTTTACAAATGCAGCCCAGGTGTTTCAAAGCAAACCTTCTGCAGAATTTTAGACAGGGATTTTTGCATCTTCATATGTTCAAAATGGCAGCGTTCTAGGCAACATGAACAAACATTTTCACTGTAGGTGAAAAACTTTTCAAATAGGATAAGATGTGAGGCAAGCAACGGGGGGCTGGACTCTAGAAAAACAGCTTCCCCAGGACTTTGAGAGCAAAAAGCTGCTTTACGTAATCATCTTCTTGGTGAAACAAGCAACAAAAAAGTTTCTGGCCTCTGCTGGTGTTTCTTTGTTTCAAACATTAGAGCTGTGTTAGGAAAGCTGCACTTCAGCTTTCCACGCTTCACAACCAATATATAAGTCTGGAAGGAACTGAAGGCAACAGAGGTCCTATATGTGACTGCTCGTACAAACGCTGGGTTGGAATAGATGTTTCACTCTGACACATGGGTTTTTGCAAACAAGTTCATGTTGCTTTGCGCTTGTTATGATCTGTCTTCATCCATTTGCTCTGTAATGATCAAACTTCTGTTGAAAATAACTAGGAAAGTACAACAGGACTCAGTAAATGTTTGGCATTTTTTTACCTCTAAAACAGCACAATGTGTCTAGTTTATATGATAATAAAACTATTTATCTTTTTTATTTTTTTAGAAACAAGACCAATGATAGAAAATCCATCTCCTTGCTAAGAGAGTCATAGCCAACTGCTGAACAGCGTCTTATAACCTGGTGGGAAACCATTCAGTTTCTTGCCCAGATAGAAGGGAATCCTCTCAGATTAAAAATAGTCATTCACGACTTTGCTGCCTGCTGATTTAAAATGTTGGGTTTTTTTTAAGGCGCTCAGCTCTTAGTACACTCAGTTCTCCCTGACACAAAGACTTTGAAACAAGAAATTAAACACCTCAATACAAGTGGTTTCAACCTTTAAAAAAAAGTCATCAACTTCAAAACCGAGTCTCGGAACTGCCTCTCTTCATCGTGCTGCTGTTTAAGTCGTCATGTTCAAAACTAAGATTATTGTGCGACCTTGATATCATCAACAGCTTCTCGCGTTTGCTGTAGTCTCGTCTCCCCGTCGTCGATGCTGACGCCTCCAGGATCCGCTCCCCCTGCTCCTCTCTGTCCTCCAGCCTCACGTAGCCTTTGCTGCTGCCCCTGTTGCCACTGTTACTGCGGTCAAGGCGAGGCCAGCTGGGGTGCTTCCTCTGCTCTGGGTGCACGCTGAGCATGCTGGGCCCTCGCTCCAGGTCCAGGGATTTGGAGTGGCTACTCAGCATGTGAAGAGAGGAGTTGGAGCCAAGGTCAATCCTGGCTGCTCCTGGGGAGAGCCAACAGCCTGAGGTAGAGGAAGGTGTGGGAGACAGAGAAGAAGAGGAGACGGAGGAGCAGTGGGATGATGAGGAGGCAGAGTTACTCCTGTGCAAACTCGGTGGTTTGGAGGCCTTGGCAACAGATGCTACAGGAACAGCCAACGACTCCATGGAGCACAGCGGCTGCTCCGTATGTCCGTCTCGTCTCTCTCCTCCTACGCCCACTCTCTCCTCCTCTGTGATCACCTCCATCTCTGGTTCATCAATAACACAGTTATTGAGTTTTATGACAGGCAGAGTAAAGGCTGAGATAGAGGAGGAGACAATGGAGCGAGCATGGTGTCCTCTCTTCTCTCCATCTCCATCCACCGACCACTGATGGTGAAAGGAGTCTGAGTGGGCCAGCCCTGGGCCACAGAAGGGCCGGTCCTTGTAAAGAGGGGCCAGTAGCCCCGCAAAGCTGCAATCCAACTTGGCCTGCTCTCTTTGCCTGTGGAATTCCTCATCTCCTAGGAGCACTTCCTCCTCTGTGGAGCCTCTTCCTCCTCCAACCTGAGAGGAGAAGGCCAGGAGGGAGTTGGCTAACCTTGTTGCATCATCTACCCCAAATCCTTGAAGGTCTGCGATATCTCTTGCGTACGTGCTGTTTTTCTGTTGCTTCTGCTCTCTCTGCCGCAGGCGATGAATGTCAATTACAGTGGAGTACATGTCTCTCATATGGATTATCTAGTGCAGAAAATAACATACAGCATTAGCAGTCATCTGTGTATGTCTGGCAATGTTTTTCCCAACACCACTAATAATTTGCTGCACGGCTTTGACATATCAGAGTTGGTTGAGTTTTATTTTCACAGACATGGACACAAAAAGAGGGAGGAGTTAATAAATCAGGACAGGGACAGATAGGGCAGGAGGACACAGGAACAGAGATAAGGGTGGAAGGAGGCTGGGCTAGATCTAATGTCCGTGTGAGTTATTTACAGCTGATAAATATAGATGACTGCAGAGCGTGTTAGTGTCTGTGGGAGACTCTCACCAGTGTGAGGATAAGGAGATGGTGTATATAAGAAGACACTAAAGAAAACCACACCGTACATGTGAAGTAGAAGCAGAAGTACTTGCTTCATGTTAATGTCTATGTTCAGGCTGCCTCTGTTCAACTGATTTACACAGTATATATATATATATATATGTGCAGTTTCCTTCTTTACCTTTGTTTCCCTGTCTCTGTTTTCATGAAGAATGGCATTTGCACAAATAAAAATAAAAATTCCAATCCCCATGGTGAATGGCCCGAGCATCTTCATCCTTTCTGAGTGACGATGCTGTTCCAGGAAGCGTGTCAAAGCCCCACCTTCAGTCTGCTTGGAGGCCGTGCCTGGGTGTAGGAGACATGAACTGATTGAGCTGTTTAATATATGGAGGACAAATTGGACTGTGATTGTGCCGCTGCTTTGATACCTTGCACATGGTGACTCCTGCTGGACAGTTCCTCGTCCCCATCTGTGACTATCCTGGCTTCATTAGACCATTTGGCTTCTCTGTCAGCTACTGTCTCAGATTCCACACTAGTTTCAAATTTGCCTGGGATCTTGGTTTCACCGTGAGGCCAGTAGCCCAGTGTTGCCATACCAATCCCAAAGGCTAAGATGATCAGACCCAGAAGTAGAAAAAACCCAGAGGCGGAGTAGAGGCGGAGCCGGCCACGGACCACCACAACATCAGTGCGACGCTTTCTTTTTCTACATTCACAAAAAAGGAGAACTTGAGTTTATATGAGCTTCATTTCTACAATGCAGCAATCACATTTTGTTTTGCAAAATAAAAAATTAAAGCATTTATAATTACAGTAGAGTGCCAGTTAAAAAAGGGTAACATGTGGGTACCATAAAAGGTGGACGTTTTATTTTAAAGACAACTTTTATTTTAATGATCAATGAATAAAAACCAGGCTGGGATGATGACCTTGGAGCGGCCTCTGGGACATGATTTCCCAGGCCCGGCGACGTGGGTGGTACGGGTCGATGCTGGGAGCGAGCGGAGTCTTGACGTTTTAGTTTGGCCAAGCCTGTTAACACAGCTGCTGCTGCAGTCATATTTAACCTGCATGGACACAAACACAGTACTGATGTTAAACAACACGGCTCACATCTGTTGTGTGCAGAGAAAAAAAGGCAACTGTGGACGAAAAGTCAAACGTACACACTGCGTTGGACTTGTGATGAACTAGGTTTACAGAAAGCATGTACATGGATTGAATTTTGAACTGTAAAAACACTCTTCCTTTGAAAAGTGTCACTGAGACTCAAACTTCAAATGAAAGCTGTTTAGGAAGAGTGTCAAAATGTTACTGAAGCACTTTCTTTATGGAGTTTTCTTTTTTGCCTTTCATGTTCACTGAGTCAATTGTTCTTTTTAATTGGCTCGTTTGAATTGTTGGTCATCTCTGTGTGTTGTCCTGTGATAGACTGGTTACATTTGCTTTGAAATTCTGCCTTAAAGCCTTAAGTAAGTTAGATGTTTTTGTTTGTGTTCCAGGGATAGAAAACAGATGATAACAGAAACAAGAATGCCTCTATTACAATACCTTATCTATTAAATTGTGTTTCTTTCTTTTTTTCCATTGCTCCCTCTCTTTGCCACATGTCTCCCTGTCGTCCTCATTCTCTCTCCTCAGCCTGTCTGCTTATACATTCTGGTTGTGACCCTGAATAATGTCCCCCCTCCTTTACTTCCTCTTCCTCCAGCCCAGCTTTGCTCTCATGGTTCCCTGTTTCTGTGTCTCCTCCTACCCACGCCACTGTTGTCTCGGTTCTATTTCTACTCCATCTCTAATTTTAACGTAGACCACTTAATCCTTTAAGTTCTATATTATTCCTCTTTCCTTTTAATGCATACATTTTATTAGTAATGTGTTCTTTTCATCACACCGAGTTGTAAATATAGTCCTGGTGTAGCAACAGGCAAAACAATTGTTTTTTTTGTTTTTTTTTCAGATTTTCAGCAACATACATGTCCCTCTGTGTGAATTTGCTTCAGCAGTGTAGTGCTTGTCATAAAATGATGAGAAATAGATGGAGAGATCATACCTGAGGGTAGGAGACGTGGTTGACAGACAGAAAAAAGGACCGAGTGTCTAGTGCCGAAGAGAATGGAGTGAAATGCTCCATCCGTGTATTATTTATAACAGCTAACGAACGTGCAAGATTTGACATAAAGCTGAAATCCTTGGGTGTTGAAGATGAGAGAAGTGTGTTAACAGAGGATGATAAGTGGACGGGAAGAAACCAGAAAGGCTTGGCGGAGACGAAGAGAATAGTTTGGTTCTTCTTTTAGTCGCAGATAAGGGGACACTGGCAGAATTTAGAGCCGCTTTACTTTTAACAAGAAGTGAGTGAAGCAGAAACACTGAAGAAGTGCCCTAACAGGCGCCGCAGCAGCCCTAATGAGAAACCGTTTAACATAACTCAGACACTAAAAGGCTTTTTTCTTTCTTCTGACAGTGTGCTGCAGCTGACAGAGTGCAACCTAAAATCATTTTGTATGGAACACGCCGTACATAGAGAAGAAAACCCTCAGTGTGTTTAACAATTAGAGACAATGGTTTGTAGTTTATGGCCCTGTTGACTTTGACAGAAGGCCATTATAAACAACAGGTTTTATGTCACATTTACTTTTCAGCTTCTCGGAACAAACCTGGAAGTAATGACACACCAGCTGCTCTTTCACTGTGCAGTAAATAATTAACCATCATTCAGAATTTAATTTATACAATAATTGACTACAAACAGTTTAATCGGAATGTAAATGAAATTTACTGCCTAATGGCACCTCCTGTGGCAGCCTGTGGGGGTTATAAAGTCTCACACTGTGAATTTCCCCATTGAAGGATGAAGAATAACAGACTTCATTTTTTTTTAAAGATTATTTGTGTGTGTGTGTGTCCAGACTCGCTAACTTTATTCAGGTTGTTCCACTGGTTCCCAAAGTGGGGTGTCGGGAGTCAGCAGGTCAAACTCATTTCATATTTTACTAATTCTATTTTTATATATTTTATTTATTTCTTTTTAATGACAATACCGAATTTTGGTCATTCTTAAATAGTAGTGGTACATAATTATTGCACTGTGCCATAAAAACATCCTTCATGAAATATGTACCTCTATTGAGCTGTTCTAGCAGTCATTTTTTAAATACAATAAGTATTTCTTTGTAACATGTACTGTGAAAGGTGACTGGTTTTTCAATAACGGGCAACAAAATCCTGAACATCTAGATTTACTCGTGTTAAGGAATTTACCCTTCAAAGCATCCCATAAAAATCACTTTCAGTTGCAGGTTCCACCTCCAACACCATGACACCTGCTGTGTGAGAATTCACTGCCTGTGCTGTGTTGCTGTGTCTTTTGTAGTACGATAACAAGCTAATCTATAGGAGACGTCACATGAAAAGCGGTCCCTATAGCAACTACATGCATTGCCTAGGTGAGATGTTTCTATAGCAACTGCCAGATGTGTGCAGAGGAATGACAGGAACACCACTGTGACTGTGTCATGTCAACAAAGGGACATTTGCAGTGTACATTTACCTTCTTCAGCAGCGGAGAAAGAGCAGGTCTGCTGCTGAAGGGATGAGGAAAAAAACTCAGTCCTGTGATTTCTGTGTTTCTAACGTTTATCTTTTGGTGTTAGTTTCACAGCATTCATTACTTAGAAGCGATGGGATGGTTGAAGAATTGAGTTTTGAAGGTAGGTGAGAGTGAGATGAAGGAATGTACAGGGTACAACGGAGTAAAGAGGAGCACTTTGATCTACATGCAAGGAACTCCAGAGACTTTTTACCACAGAGGAGAGAAAAGTTTTGTCTGAAATGACCCACTTCAGTGAGCTGAGTTCAAGCACATGACAGAGACAGACAGTGGTGTGGACGCAGACAGATAGGAAGGAAAGATTCAAACAGAGATGTAATGAGAAAGGAATGAGCAGGAAGTTAAAAATGGAGCTCGGAAGGGAAAGGAAAAAAATTGGCATCCATTACTGTGTTTCCCATTATAGTTACACGGTGTATACAGAGTGTGTTTGTGTTTCTGCGCTGTAATTTGCTCGGGTGAGGTTAACTGCGGCCAAATTGCTCCAGTAATTGTGGGTAAAACGAAACATTATCGGTTGCTGAGATGGACCGTAATGGGTGCACAAACTGATGCCTGCTGCAGCTGTAGTTAAAGTCACCTGTCATGATGGCACAGAGCTGTGACACAAACATAAAAATCACACTCACTCACTCACTCACTCACACATTTAAATCCTGCCTCTTAATTTGTGTATGGAACTGAAAAGATAAATCACTTTGACAAATGTGGGCTCAGGATACTTCCTGCTCTTCCCCCACACCGACCATCAGCTAATCAACCAAAATAATCATTACATTTCCTGACAATGAACACAGTCCACAGCTTGGAGGTAATTGTCTGTATGAGTCATGGGCAAAAATGCTGTGAAGGAAATATTACTTTAGTACGACTTGTTCCCAACACCATTTTAAACTCAAGGTGCTAAAATAAAGACACGGTCAAGTTTTCAGACTGGGGTCAGACTTCATTTGAAAGTGGGCCACAGTCATGGAAACTACTATAAACACAGCTTCAGATACTGGAGATTTACATATTTTCCTTCCTTTATTGTTTACAGATGTGATCCTCTTGTCTGCAGTATTGTATGCAGTATTCAGCTACTGCACATACAGTTGGCTGATTTATTCCAAATGATCATTTATAACAGCTTCTGTTCCATTGTGTTTCTGTAAAATGAATGGTAAAAGAAAGACATGGCAGAAACACACTTTTTCTTCCAGTGTGACCTTTGAGAGTAAAAAAAACATGACAAAACACTGAAAGTAATTCCTCAGGCACTCGGTTTGCCATGTAGCACAGAAGAGTATAACTCAGAGCAGCGCATTTTTACTAATTTATACTCTTGCTCTCCAAGAGGAACTCGGAATCGTCTTTTCCAGAGAAGACAGAGGTCAGAGTCTCTCAGTATTTTAAATAAAGCCCAGTAGAAATTCTATTAATGTGTAATCCCAAGGACATAGGCTATATTTGAGATTAGATATTTGTCTGATGTGATGTGGCCAGATGTAATTTACTGCATCCTGGTTCTTTGTGACAGTACTGTCTGAAAATGGTTGCCAACCATAACCATGAGCCAACCTCCCCCAACTGTCAGTTGAAAAAAAAAAAAAATACTGAAAGGTCAAATGAAATAAGCCTGGCTCTGCTTGAGTTCTCCGTGTTGTGACATCAGCAAAAGTTTAAAGACAAAATTTCACAGATTGTTAAAAGTAGTAAGTCTAAGTAAAGTAACACAAAATGCAGTCGAATTTTGTTTATTCCAGCTGTTTTTGTCCTGTATTGGTATTTCTTTAGAACTAAGGAAAAACTGAGGAGCGGCAAAGCACTTGACATGATGTTTGGTAGTTAGCAGAAAGCATGGACTCAGTGTTTAACTGATTGAATTCTAGTCCTTCTAGTCGACTCTCCCTCTTCTTTTCCTCTTTTTTTAACCTCTTGTACACACTGCACATGTGTACTTTACAATATACAACCTGGACATAAACCCTGTGTTGGGAATAAGAAGGATTTCACATTTATCTTAATGTCACTGCAGAATCACACTGACTGTCCATTGCATCATCACGATGTGAAATCTGAACCTGAGGCTGAGACCAAAAACACAGCGCTTGTTTCTGACAGGTCAGGTTACAAGTAAAGAAAGAAAATCCACATGTCAGATTCCTAGACTTTCCATCGTTTTCTAGAGTCAAACTGGATTATAAAAATGATTGCAAAGTGTACCCCAATCCATGGAAAGTCAAAATCTACTGTTGAGTTAATGTTAAAGCTGTGTTTTGTAAAGATGGTGAAGCAACTCAACAAGTGTGAATTTGAGTGTGATTTTAAGTCATCCCATTGCCTGTGATCTGAATATGTGACAAGGCAGAAATTAAATTAATATTTTTTGTCCAGCTATGACCAGAGCTGTATGATAAAAATGTATCCAGTCCTGCAGGTACTAATGAACTTTTTTAGATTTATTTTTACCAGCAGATATTACAAATGCAGTGGCATTGAAATTATAACATGTCAAAAAAAGAGGGTTTTTTTTCTATTTCTTCAAAAATCTGTTTTACCAATGTGTGAGACACACACACACACACACACACTGTACATGATCCACAGGAGACTTTCTTTTTCCAGCTCTGTCAATACTCTTCAGGTTTGTGTAAAGGCACAGGTTTGTTTTGGTAAAAGGAAGGATTTGTCTCTCAGTTGACGGCGAGTGAACTGTATAATGGACAAAACACACAGTTAACATTTTACTCTCCAGGACTCAGTAGCTGTACAAGAGAAAATCCACAAACAGACAATAAGGAAATATGTAAAAAAAAAAACAATAATCTTCTGTTTGTTTAATAATACTTAACTATAATCCCTAAATAATGTTTTCATTTTATTACAGTCTGTGAAGGTTGGAGTTCCATAAATCAATACAGCACTTTTTTATATCCTCTTGCTTTAAACAAATTCCTTTTTCAATTCAATTTCAATGTTCCTTCATCTTTGATTATGATTACATAATGAATACAATCAAGGCACAGCATCAGCCAATTGAAGCAGGCTTTGTGTAAATTTAGATTTAGCTGATGACAGTTACTCATCCCGTATGATCAGAACTTTCCATAATCCAAATGCTCTGACCATTTCTTTTTTAGTTTGTAGTTTAGATAAGACACTACAGTATCTTCCACGTAGTATATCCGATTAGTTTCTTCTTGTTTACTTTACTCTGAGCTTCTGGAGAAACGAGCCGTGAGTACGAAGAAGACGCTGAAGATGAAATGACCACAGAAAAGATTATTTTCTTTTCTCAGAATAACAATAAATTGTTACATGTTATATGTTTGGGCTTTGCGTCACTCATACAGAAGTCAAGAGTGAGTCATCTGTCTGGAGAATATGTCGCTGTGTGTTTCCCACAGACTCTCAGCAGCACATTTATGAAATCAACCACTCAACCGTCAAATCCTGAAGCTTCTTCACCAGATTCTTATTTCCTCTTCGCTGTCATTATTTTGTTGGTGCTGTTTTTCTTCTTTTTTTTTATGCACATTGCTTCTTTAAAATTGACTGACAATCATTGCCTTGGATATTTGACTGTTTAATTAATTTACAGCCTGCTGCTGCCACTCTGTATGTGTGTGTGTGTGTGTGTATGTATGTGTGTACTGATGTCCTGGAGTGTGCCTCCTGTTGATTCGAAGCAAAATGACTCATTCTGTCTTCCTCACACTCACTCATCTTGAGGCTTGAGCTGTCCACACATGCTTCACAGCCCTGGTTTCCAAGATGATGTCTGGGACATCTAAGCCATTGATTTATGGAATCTATAACTTCTGATTCTATTATCTATCAATTTTTTAATTTAATGTTTAAAGTTTGCTGTTGCTAATAGGATGTTTGAAGTCTAAAAAAAAAATAAAGATGTACACACTAACACATTTGTAAAGGGATTTGTTGATGACCATGTTGAGTGACCACTCAAGAAGCAAAGGCTCATTTAGAGAGGATAATCCAGTTTGTGTTATGTCTAAGGATGGATTAGTGATGTCACCTTCTAAATGGTTCTCCTCTCCTTTCAGTCAGAAAGAATACTAATATAAAGGAGCAAATGTTTTGTTAAAATATTTGAGAAATCAGAGAAACATTTATTCTGAGAAATTGTCAAAAAAGTGTTAAAAAAAGCTGGTTAAAAATCAACAAAAAAGTCTAAAATATTACCAGTAAGATCTGATCTGAATGTTTATATACAGTTTATTGACTAAAATAAGTGTGCTATTAAAACTGTCATTTAAAAAATCTTTTTATAAACTGAATCCTCCCCCTCCTCCTTCTTGTTAGGGCTGTTTCCTTCAGGTGTCACCACGGCTGATCATCTCCATCCATCTCACCCTGCCTCCCTGCTTTGACACCAACCATCTCCATGTCCTCAAAGCATCCGTTGTTTCCACCCCCACTGAGGGATGTGTTACGGTGACTGCACTGATGTCTGACCTTTGCTGAGCTGAATGATTTCGCTCACAATCAGAGGTTTAAAGGAGGTACTTTATATGTTCATCAGGTTTCTCTGTGTCCTCCATGAAACTGAGGTCAAACACACGATCAATGTTCTAGTGTGGGTGTGTGTTTTTACCACATTAGCTTTAAATGTTTTAACATGAAGCCAATGATGGTGCACTGATGCAGACACCACGGTTCTGTAATGTAAGATTTTAAGAAAAATATGATTTTAAGACTGAACCTAGGCCAAATTATTATCAAATTATAATTTCAATTATTTGTCGGTTCAATAATGTAGCGGTTTTCACACCTGCCTTACACATCTGGGGTTTAGGTCCCCAGAGGTATCACATGCTTAATGGCGACTGTGTGGGTTGCAAAGACTCATGCTATTCTACGTACGTCTTTGGTTAGACACTGAACCCAGGCTTTTTATTTGTTTCTTTTTTACAGCATTTTGCTATTAAGGGGCAAGAAGATGTTTCACATTAAAATGTGATTCACACAGTCAGTTGTGTACCTCTTACTGCAGGCTCATGGACTGGTTTTTAAGGAATCAGAGAATAATCTTCTTTAGCGTATTTCAGAGTCCTAGATTTATTTATCTTCTAGTATGGACGCTGAGCATCTGTTGACTCCTTCCATTTCCTAGGGAGTTTAAGTCAGGTCTTTGAGTTTCTCTAGGTCTGCAACCTCACAGCCCACTCCTCTGCAGGGCTTATTTATCTGTTCCCATTGGTGAAGTTATTCATTTGTGTCTTGGTAGTTTTTACAAATATCATATAGTCTTAAAAGAAGTTTTAAAAACAACATCACATTTTAACTGATTGATTGTTCTTGATGTTTTCTAAAATCATCTTCTAACTTATGGATTAATAAAAATATAAACTAATTGGACTGTTCAAATTGGACCACATAGAAAGATACAGGAATCCTGCAAATATTATGTAACATGGAAAATCAACAGTCAACTTGGAAGGCTATACATAGGAATGAGAGTTTGTAGTTGGAAAAATTCACTCAACTCTGCTGGCCTCACTCCTTACCTTCACAGAACTCCAGATTCCACTGTCGGTGTGCCGTTAGGGACGTAAATCAGAGAGAGGGTCAGAAACCATCCTGTCCTGTGCAGATCACTTCCAGTACAACGCCATACGGGGGTGAATCAAGATGACAGGAGACACCCGGGGCTGGAAAACCTCACCACACTTCTTCACTACATCCAAGCTTCTTTTGTGGAGACGCTCCTCTGGCCTTGGTCCAGTTTGTCTGGGTCAAACCCGAGTTGTGACGCTTCAGGGTGTCACGGCGTTTTACGCCTCATGGAGAAAAACAGTGCGCTCTGGACAAAGAGGTTGGAAAAAAAAAAACACGCTCCTCGAGAACACTGAGGGAAAAATCATTCCTTACATCCTTCTGGGATTTGGGGCTGTGTTTCTCTTGCGTAAAAATATCCTGCCTTCGGTTAATCACAAAAACAGCACGTGTAGTTCCCAGTCCTTTCTGGTCGGCACAATGCGTAAAACTCCTCTTATCAGTCTTTACTTGCACCCAAAAACTTGTTTTCATGCGATTTAAAAATTGATTTAAACGTCAGTAGTTGCTGCTTGAAAAAATAGGCGATAAAATAAGTGATAGGCGTCCTCGAGGAGCGACTAAAGCGTATTTATTCCTCTGCAACACAAAAAGGTGCAACTGCTGCACAGATCCATCCAATTCCACCAAAGCGCTCTCTCTCTCTCTCTTTCTCTGTCTCTGTCCCCCTCCCCCCCCTCCCCCCCCCTCTGATGTCATATATCTTTTTTGCATAGAGTCCATAAACGATGAAAATGACTCGTGGAGGACGGAGGGAGGCGCGTGGACAACGTGACGTGTAACGCGCAACAAGCAGCAACACAGTGGAATGGTTAGAGCCTCAAAAGTTTTGTAATGATTTTTTTTTTAACCGACTAAATGGTTTTTTTTCCCCGAGTGTTTTATTGCTTGAACGCAGTCTTTTTTGCAAAAGGCATATAATAAACACAAAAAATGTATTGTGTTAACCAGTAACAAAGTCAGACTCTAAACCAAAGGTTTTCAATAGTTGGTCCGAGACCCCTAGAGGGCCCATATATGTACTACACAGTGGTTGTTATATTTCAGACACAGCTAACCTAGTGATGCTATCTTGCACATGGATAGAATAAAAACAGTTCTGAATGCTAAAAAACAAAGTACATTTATATAGATATATATAGATATATACATATCAGTTTAATAGAAAACACTTTATTTTTCCATGAAAATATTCAAGTCTTTAAACTGAGCTACTTTGAATGGTGGGTTTGATCTTTAACTAATGTGATCATCAAGGCAAAAATAAAAGATAGAATCCAGGGTTTCATCAATGATGTGAAATAATGCTGCACATAATGTACAAATATGTACATACACACACATGCACAGAAAGAGAGGGTTACAGATGTTGGCATGCGTGTCATTTCCTGTGCTGTGTGCTGGACACTGTTCAAAGGAAACCAAGCAGCTGCAGTGATGTGAGGGTAAATGACTTGAGATAGAGAAGAAAACATTTCTGTTGGACTTGCATTGTCACCTTTAACCTCATACCTGACCTTAACTCTAAACCTAACTCCCACTCTGCCTCTCTGCTCAACACACACACACACACACACATACACATACACTGAAAGAGAGAGACTAAAAATAACCTTGTGTAGTCCCTCAGCATCACCAGAGCTGGTTTAATGGAGACATCTGGAGCCCATAAGACCTCAAAACATTCACTCATAACATTCACTAATGTGCAGTTGAGATTCATGCTGAAGTCATGTCCCCTGAGCTGCTCAGTTACAGTTATATTTACATTGAAAGGAAAGGAGAAATAAAAGAAATATGGGACGTTCGATTCTGTTTACTCGTGTTTTCATTGTGGGCAGTTGTGGTCAGGAAGCAGTAAACTAGTAAAACTATATAAAAAAGGAAGAATAGAAAGCAGTATGCACGTTATAATTATTTAAATAAATGTCAAGGCAGCAGTCATGTTAATATAAACTGTTATCATATTCTGTTCCATAAGTGCTCTGTTGTCTGTCAGTGTTGTTTTCAGTCTCATATTAGGCCTGAAATAGCAACACAGTGACATGGTGGACGGCACTGTTGACCTACAGCCACGAGGTCACCGGTGCTATTCCAGGCTGAAGCTATTTTGGAAATTTTGTCAATTTCATTCATTTAAATCTTAATTTAAAAAGCCACATATATTCATGGTCATTCAATACTACAGCAAAAAGGGGAGAAGAAAAAGACTCACAAAGTAGTCTAATCAAAAGATCTCCTCTTTAAAATAAAAAATATATAATTTAATGCTTTCCAATCCCTCTTGAAGTCCTTTTTAAGAAATCCACACAGCCCTAAAAGGCGACTGATTAGTTATGACGTCTATCCTGCTCTTCAGCCCCCTGATTTCCCTGCCCTTTGTCACTATGGTTACAATGATGCAGGTTACTTACCCCCCCACACTTGTACAAAAAAAGCATACCTTTGTGCTTTAAGACACATACACGTGTCGGTGTGCGCAGGTTGTGATGCCATGGAGTTTCATGGGCTATTTCTGGAAGGAGACAGAAACACTGGACTTCCTGCATCATTCGTGCTTTGATATTGTCTTAGTCTCCCCCCCCCCCCAATCATTTCACCTTTTTACACTTCATATTCATTAAGAGTTTAAAATTAATAACGGCAACATGCCATTATTTTCCTCTGCTTCACATAATTTTTCCATCCTTTCTCCTTATCCAAGACTATGATCTACAGCATGATGCTGATGTGGGAGATCTGCACATCTGCAGCAGGCTTTGAGTCTTATCAGGTTCTGCGAGTACATGTGGTTCTTATGTTCTATTTCTGCTTGTTATTAGTCTGTCATTACTTTTGTAAAGAAAGGCTGCCATCTTGTGTTAACTTTAGAGAACTGATAGAAAAAGACGAAGAATGTTTTCGTTGTTGTTGTTGTTGTGAATATGGCAAAATAAACTAAATAGTATTTTTGCCTGATAAATAAGTTTTCTAATTTGACATGCTTAAGAAAAAAAACATTGGTCCAAACTATCTTGTGTTTTTTTTTTTTTTTTTGAGGTTTGCACACACATGTAAATACCTGGACCAGAGAGAACGTTCAACCCCTTTTAGGATTTACTCTGTTCCTACTTGCAGTAATCCCATTGCCTGTAATCCTCAGGCCGCTCTAACCCTTCACATCTATCTCACACAGAATCTATCGCACACATCTATCTCACACATGCACTGTAGCTCGCAATCTCTCATTTGGACCTGCAGCCATTCATGTTGTTGGACTACTGCTGTCGTTGTTGTGGATTCACACTGATAAAACGCCATGGACCCCTCTCTCACAAGACCACACTCAGTGATACATGGGTAAGAACGATGGACAGTGTGGGCAGAGACTGTTGGATTAACTGTTAGTCCAGGCTTGTTAAGCAGACAAATGATCATTTCATTCTGTCAGAAGAGAAAAATAATATTAACTGTGTCATTTCAGATCCTGTGTCTTTTAATTGTAGTTATCCTATCAAGTCAGTTTTAATATAATTTGTCATTTTACCCAGCTACTACAGACCTGTCTGTTTTTGTGAAGAACAAGTGACAATCTATTTACTCTATGACTGTTGAAGCAGTTCATACTGGATATGTGCATTGACCTGCATATTGCATACTGTAATCGAGGTGTGCTACAGTGTTGCAATTGGACAGTTGTCTTCTTGTTTATTACTGACATGTAGGTCAGTAAGCATCTAAAGTCACCAGGTCAGACCATGGACCCCTGAGCCCTTAGAGCTGGTTTTCAGAGCAGCTTTCTTCATCCAGTCTAGTCTGAAGATGATAGAAACACAGGAGAGGACTAGCTAATGTGTTTAACTGTCTCTGGTGGCATTAGTATGAGATCAGCTTCTTCCCTCACACATCCACATGCTCATAGATCTTAAAATAGGATGATAAATAGATTTCATGTGGCCTCATGCTGAGGAGGACATGATAAAATCAAAGGTTGGATGGATATAATCCCATTCCTTTTCCACTGCCCTGTGTACTTCCTCAGGGAACAGACAAATGAACTGATAGAAAGAGACTCGTACCCAACACAGTTGTCAAATACCTTTGCTGTACTTAGACACGTCAACAAGTATTGGCTTGATTAAAAGCTCAGTCAAATTAACATGGTCACTCGTAATGTGAAGCTACAGTACAGTAAGACACAGCCTGGAGGTTAATGAGAATGTCAGTGTGTTAGCACAGTTGTATATTGACTGTGCATAGTAATTCACTACTGACATTTTCTTTCTTGCCAATTAGCAGCAAATACAAAGTGTGACACTGATGGGATCATGCTGCAGGTTGTTTCCGTGGATGGAAAGTTAATTCACCATAGATTGATAATACTAACAAAATAATAAAAGTGTGGAGTCAATTTTGATCTTGAGGATTAAAAAAAACAGTAAAGGTGCAATCATTTTGTTTTTCTATTCTACCTTGAACTGAAGACATCTTTTATACTGTACAATTCGTACTTGGTAAAATTTTTGTAAAGACTACATAGGGGAAGTTAATTCCTGAGTCATTGAGGTGAAAGTCATGGTTTTATCTCATCTCTGGTCTCTGTCACAGCAGAGAAAAAAAGCAGGTTTGACTGAGATTAGCAGCGACACCAATTTTTGGAGGTTATTCACCCTGTTCTGTTACGCAGAGACCTGGCACCTGCATAAAAGATTTTGAATGCAAGTCATTATTCATATAATTATTTAAACCTCTGTTTGACAGGCTAAAATGTCAATTGTATGAAAAGGTCTTTTATTGCACTGCTGAGGATGTCTTGTTACTCATTTCCTGTAAAGACTACAGTTAATCATCTGTGAAAGAAGACTTCAGCAATGGACTGTTTCAGCTACAGAAGGAAGGAAATGAAAAAGTTACTGCGAAAGAAAATCAGCTTTTGTAAACAGATGAGACAAAAAAAGAACAATTATCTTTAAAAAACTTTAACTGGTGGGTTCCTTCTTCTGTATAATCAGGGTCATGTTGTTGGAGGCCGACTCTGCCAAATGGTTGCTGAATGATTGTGTTTCCAAAGCCAGATGGAACACATTTTCCTCCTTTCACTGAGAAATACTGCTAATGTACGAGTGACTAACTTGGGTTTTCATATACATTGTTTGTAGTTATTTAAATTATGAACAAAAAGCCTAATCTAAGATAAACATAATGCCCTAAAAATATTTAAGGTTCAGCATATACATTTCTAGGTTATTATGATCCAGCAGGTACTGTACAGTATGATGTGACCCTTCCTCTTCTTTTTAGGTTGTTCTACAGAATCTGTTGATGTGCATGGTCTGTTTCTACTCTCTGTACTACATTGTAGTCAGTCTCTGCATTGGACTGCTGAGGTACACTTACAAAAATAAACAAACTCATTTATTTATTAACCTTTCTGGTGTTTATATCTGCGTTTATTGTTGATGCACACCTTCACTACATTTGTTTTCTCAGGGTTCATGAGATCAACAGCCTGTTGGCTCCATTCGACTACACAACCCAACCGTCATGGCAGAACCCCAAATACCTGGGTAGGTATCTACGCCAGGGTGTTGTTACCTATTCTCTGGAAACTATAAAGAAATAGAGCAGTACAAATTGAGTAATATTTATTGACGAAAAAAATAAATTAAGAAAATATACTGTATATACAGTAGTATATTCCTACTGCCCTTGGTACAGATAAATAATATTTTATTGTGTTCTCTTCCAGTGGGTGTCATTTCCACAGAAGTGACCTATGTTCTAGGAGGACTGGTCTTTGCCTGGATCGTAGAGGAGTGGGTCTGGGATTACGCCATAACTGTCACATTGCTACATGTTGCCATGACTGTGGCAGGTTAACACACACACGATCCCTAACCCTGATCATTAGGCAGTTCCAATATCTGCTTTGTCTTTAACTGAGTTCCAATGTTGTTCAACATTGGTTTTAGTCTCAATAATGACTAGGCTTTAGGTAGATTATTATTATTATGTTAAATGATTTTTCAGCCATTTGCAGCTTCTTCTTTTACTGCAAACACTACACACTATATTACACTGTGCTTGTCTTGTCTATGTTTTTCAGTGATGTCCGATTTCCCTTCAGCTGAGCACTGGTGGATAGCCCTGGGTGAGTTTTGGTTGACATCTTTGTAAATATTTTTATCTGTCACAAATGTATTTTGCAGAGTTCAAAAATCCCCCTTCTCATTCCCTGAAAGCTTTTGTCTATTTATGAAAACATACTGCTTTAGCTGTTCCCCATTTGTGTCCTTCTCTCCCTGTATTTGCAGTTTTCTGAAGGGCCACTTGTCTGCCAGCATGATTGATCAGTCTCTTTATCTAATCTTTTACGCCCACTCTCTTCATCACTGCAGGTTCAGGCCTTGTGATGATGATATTTGGAGGGCAGCTCTTGGCCTACAGACTCTTCAGAACTAACTTTGTTTATCCTGCTGGACTGCAGAACTTCTAGCGAAGACAAAGAGGAAAGCTTTTAACTGGCTTACTGCTTAATCTCGGGTCTTAATGCATCCACACTCTGCCATTTTTGTCCAGCCAGCCTCATGTTAGCATTAGTGTTAACCAGAGTACATGGATACTACTCTTAGCTACTACGTCAGATTCATCTTTGTAAAAATAAAGTACACCTATTTGACAGTTTTTTGTAACATGTTGTGTACAGTTGTATTTTTCAAACTATTTTATTTGCAAATTTCATACCCTTTGTTGGATATTACATGTTTAGATGATATTTAATAGTGCAATATGAAGTTGGAATAGCTTTAGTTATTTTCCATTTGTGGTGTCTGTAAAACAATATTAAATCTGTTGGCATTTTGCTTTCTGAAAACACGTCTTGTGATTAGTTCAACACCATAAATTATCTTTTGTTCTTGTACAAAGTAGGTAAAATAATTTGTAACCAAATAAAAAAACAACATGCAAGTAAAGTTGTGGGTTTTTTTTGTTTGTTTTTGTTGTTGTTTTTTTGCCTGTGTTATCTGCTTTAATTGTTGGGTAATTCCTACTTTCTAAAGAATTTTTAGCTTCATTTAATGGGTTTAAGGCTTGGCAGTGTAGAGTAAGCTCCCTTTTTAAAATGTTTATGAAATTCTGAATTCAAAATCAATTACTTTGCACAAATAAACTGGCTTTTTAAGCCCTGGAGAAACCGTATGTGTCTGTATGTATAATTATATAATCCAAGTCCCAAAGATCTGGCAACCCCGCCTTCAATTAAGCGACCGGAACGACAACACACGTCACCAGATCAGTGGCTACAGGGTTCATTTGCGATTTATTTGCTGCAATCAACATTAGTTTCGCCGGTAATATGTCAGGAAATGGATTTATCTACAGCATTAGAAGTTTCATAGATGCTGATACGAACACCGGCATCATGGTAAGAGCTAATATGACTAATGTGACTTTACTGTTGATCGATGCTAACACGCCACATGGTAATAGAAGTTTGGTGATACGTTACTTGTGACGATTTGTGCGAGGGTGAGGGGAGGGGGTGGGGGATCCGAAACCACCACTTATTCCGCGAAAATATTGTAATCTATCTAATTTTAAACCACTTTTTCCGCGAAAATATTGTAATCTATCTAACATTGTGCTTATCAATGCATCGCAGCTACACCACAGTCAATAAATTGTAATTGCGATTGTATTGTAATTTACAAGAATATTAATTAGTTAGATTTGAAAATACAATTACAAAAAAAGTTAATCCTGAACATATATAAAAATCCTTAAGGTAAATAATGTTAAATTGCACATTAGGTATTAGAGACAACAATAATATTTTGAAATATTTATGAGTCACGTGCACAGTCTTTCGTTGAGATTTATCTTCTTGTTTTCTATACCTTAAATTACATTCTAAATTAAAGACTTTCAAACTTCCAACCTAGGTTTCCAGCAGTTGAATATGTCATGTGTATAGGTCAAACGTTAATTTAAATAACAAAAATATGTTTGTTTGTTTTTTCAGACTCCATTTGAGCGTCTCAGAAATCAGATGAATGACATTCTGGGAGATGGAGGGATGCTTAAAGAGGTCGTCCAGTGTGGAGAGGGTCCCCCTGTACCTCAAAATGCTTCTGTTTTCAGTATTTACAACTACAGTTTCCAAACCAAACCATAACCCTTTCCAAGATTATAATTATTTATTTTATTGCATTTTTAAAACTACTTTTTTTTGTTTTCACAGTTTACTACTCTGGATTTCTGGAATATTCAGACCACCCCTTTGAAACAAACACTAACCTTAGACACCCACCAATGTTGAAATTAGGAAGAGGTGAAGAACTATTCTGTTAAATGAACAAAACAAAACAAAAGTGCAACAATATATTTATTTTTCTGATTTTTTTTTAATCAGACGTGACCATGGCAGGTCTGGAGCTTGGTCTGCGGACCATGAAAAAAGGAGAGTTCTCTCGCTTCCTTTTCGAGCCTGAGTATGCATATGGTGACATAGGCTGTCCTCCCTTTATTCCTGCATCTGCCACAATCCTGTATGAGGTCCAGCTCCTGGATTTTCTTGACTCTGGACAAGTGGACGAATTTCTCTCGATGAGTGCAGTATGTGAAGTGATGCTGAGTGCAGTAGGATGTGGTGTTTCTGGACCCAAGTCATGATAAACTTCACTGACACCATGTTTTCCCTGTGTACAGGAGGAACAGAACTCTTTTCCTTTGCCCAGATTCCTTGATGTCGTCAGCACCTTACGCAGCTTTGGCAATCGCTGCTTCAAACAGAGCCGTTATCACAGTGCTAAAGATCGCTATAAACAGGTGATTGGATAAGATAGAAAATATTATCTTTAGAAACAGAGAACACTTTAGTTTGATTGTAGTAGCTTATATGTTTAATTCTAATTCAGTTTTGTGCCTGACAAACAGGCCATGATACTGTTGGAGAGCAGGGAAATTGAGACTGACATAGAGAATGAGAACATCAACACTGCGCTGCTACCTCTCTATCTAAACCTTTCTCTCACTGAGCTGCGTCTGGACAGCCCACAGAAAGCACTTAAGTATGGCAACAAGGCCTTAAAGATTGACCCCACCAACACAAAAGCTCTTTTCCGCTGTGGACAGGTCAGTGTGAACCTTTATATTTTTGTCAAGCAAATCAGATTATTTCCTGACCAGTTCTGCTGATCCTTTTTTACTTGTCCTCCCTTTGTTTAACCTTCTCACAGCACTTTAGTTTTACATTTACCTACATTTTGTGACCAGCTTGCTTTGTCATATTTGGTTGGTTAATATTTTTTACAACACATTACTTCTTCCTTTTATCTGATGGACTGTTTGCCAGGCCTACCTGGAGCTCAAGGAGTACGACAGTGCCCAGGGCTGCCTCATATCTGCTCAAGCAAAGAAGCCCTTTGACAGCGATATCAACAACCTCCTTAGGAAGGTGACACTGTAAGAACAGATTCTATTGACACATTAATTACATGTTAAATGTAAATGTTCAGTATTACAAGATACAAAAAAATGACTCCTACCCCTGAAGAGAATAATGAATCATCAAGATGAATGTTAACAATTAGTCTCTGTCCATTCTCAGATGCTATAAGGACAACCTGGACAAAGAGAGAGACATGTGCTTCAAGATGTGTAAAGATCTGAGGGATCAGTTCAAGATGTAAAGAATGAAAAAGAAAAGGTAAGATGCTGTGTGTTATTAAATGAACAAGGTGTATGTTTTCAATGTAAAGACACTTTGGCATGTTTCTGTTTCAGGTGATGGACAAACATGACCTTATATTTGCAGTTGGATGTTCTAATGAGTACTAATGTTTTCTACATTACATCACGTTTTTGACACATGTTCATTTTCACATTTGAAGAACACACTCAGTTTTCTTGTGTGGGGTTTCTACGTGTTTTCTTAGAAAATAAACACTGTTGGTGCCAAAAAAAAAAAAGAATAAAAATTTAAAAAACAAAAATGTGCCCACCTGACATTACTAGTTCTTATTTTTCATTTACATCTCACAACTAGTCTTTAATATGAACTGTGCATTCACCATGTTTGCTAACATTAATTAATTAAGGTAATTAATCGAGGTAGTAATTAGCATGCAGTATTAGTAAACGGACATAAATAAAGATTTTTACCAAGGTAAAAGGTCAACAATATGGCTATTAAATTTGTTTAAAGGGAATTAAACCTTGCGGTATTATTTTAAAGCGTAGTGTTTCAGAGTAGACGCTAGGGGTCACAACTTAACCAATTTATTATGGAGTACCACATTAAAACAATGTGGTTTCGAATAGTATTGCAAAAAGCAGACATTATTGTGTTAATTTGTTAAAATATATACATGGAATTGTCATAAATTCAGAATTTCATTTATAAACTGATCAAATAACTAACAAAGATAGTTGAAAAAATATACAATTTTTTCAACTATCTTTGGTTTGCAAGTCAATTGAGCAAACTATGGATTGGGCCACATGGCTGTGATGGCTGTGATGAGGGAAGTGAAATGAAAATGGAATGGAATAAAGAGTAAAGAAAGGAGTAAAGGATAAAAGGATGAGAAGTAAGGCAGATGAAGGAGCATAACAATCTGTCTGACCCCTGTGGCTAATCCACTTGTCACAGTGTGTTGAGTGTTTTACCACGGTCTACGTGCACATGGTCAGTGGGTCATGGTGTTGAAGAACGTGGACTGGAACCAGGCTCAGACACACACCATGGGAACCAGGCTTGTTCATTACCTACGTATTGGGTAAGAAAAATACATTAGATCCAACAGTTTCCATATTATAGTAATTTGTTTGTTTGATGTTTTCAATTCTGAGGAATGTTTACTCCAGTTAGTGGCAATACAAAACCTCAACCTGATATTATCCCTAAAGCAAAAAACAACAAATAAAGCAAACACATTGGTATCCTACAAACTATATATATATATACTTATCTGTACATAAGACACATGATGTATTTTGTATCTGGTGAAATACAAGCAATATAAACTTCGTATTCAGCTGTACAGCATAGCATGTACTATTGTAAGGAATGTTTATTTAGTGTAAATGTGTAAATTTACATAACCACGTGCATGCAAATGCTGTGAACATACTGGACGTCTCCCTTAAAAATAGTCTGCTTCTGTTCTAATTTAGTATAATGACACAGTTTTTAAATTGTCAACATTTATTTTCACATTTCATTTCATTCATTTTTTTTTTCATTTTTTGGCAAATAGATATTTAGAAAAGTTATTCAACCAGAAGTGGCAAATAGATATTTAGAAAAGTTATTTTTGCCAATTACTTAACACTTACTCTGAACAGCAGGGGTCGCGTTTATTCAATAAGTTGAATTGCCCTTGTGGTCTCAGCCAATCAAAGAGCTGCGTTATTCCTGGTCCCACCTCTCTGTCTAATGTTCACAGCGAGTGAAAGACTTGAGAGGCGGATGGGGGAGAAATAGGGAGAAGAAGGGGAAGAGTTTAGTGTCAGAATGAATCGTCAACTAAACAGTCGAACAATGGAAAGTAGGGTCAGATAATGAACACATGAGACCAATGCATGTGTGTGTGACCCGGGGAGACGCACAGAGAGACGGAGCGGCTGGAGTTTGGATGTGAGCCTGGTGCAAGAGGAACAAGACGAGAAACATGAGTCGGCAGCAGCAGAACCAGGGAGTGGTTTTAACCAGTTACCAAAGCAACGCTGAACTGTTGCCCAAAACCGGACCGTGTGCCGCACAGGAGCACGACATCAGCGGGTCCAGGTGGGATACAGCATGACAACGTCATGACAATATTTGTCTATAAATGTGTGTGAGAGCGAGAGGCAGTGTGTGGAGAGCAAAGGTCACTGTAAACAGTGAAACTTGAATTGTTTTTCCCCTAAATTCATTATTGTTAACTCTGTTTATTATTTGATCACATTGCACAATGTTGATCATTGTTTTCTTATCTGTGGCGTCATATAAACAAAAGTTTTGTTTTGTTTTTTGTTTTTTATTTCCACTGGCTGCCATAGGGGAAAGTAGAAACTGAGGACTATCTTACTGTATAAAGTATAAAAGTTAAATAATAATACATAATGATTAATCAACAGTTGCTTTTTGAATGTTTTAAATTCCATGCCCAACTGATTTTCTTCTAGCAGTCAGTTTGAACCTAAGAAGCTTCTTGGACGAGCCGCGAAACATCCTTTAGGAACCAACACGGTCCAGTTGCCTTTAACTTAATTGGTTTGGATAGTATGAAAAGTATATGAATGTCAGCGGATTCCATCATGGACACTTAGTGTTGCTCTGACGTGACGTCCAACTCCTCCCTGCATGATTCAGATTTTTTCTCTTTTCTTATCAGTGATCAACAGTTTCACCCTGACTTGGTTTCCACGGATGTTTCTTTTTAAGATGGACTTTAAGTTTTATTCCTCCTTAGATCTTTATCTTTATGACCGAATGTATGGATTGCAGAAAGATTTTGTCTTGTTTGTTGATTAAGGTCATTTTAAAGGGAAAATCCAGAGGAACACATGGGGAAATAACAGGAAGGATATGCTTCATGGACAATTCCTTCATTCAAAGGTTTGCCTGATTAAAGGCCTGTTTGTATGTGTTTTATGCATCAGTGCCTTTGTTTGAATCTGTGCCCCTCTGGTATAGATGCTACTGAAAGGGTAAGGGTCATTCTTTAAAAACAGACCCTCTTTTGTTAATTTGTTGTTGTGGTGAACGACTCAGATGGAGTCACATCAGCTGGAGGCGTTACTGTGCCTCACTTCTTTTAATAGCTTATTGTCTACACAGAAACCACAGCCTTCTCACTTTACCATGAGGAAAAGACTCCTTATAAGTCAGGGCTCTGCACTGTCGCAGAGGAAACACATGTAGGAACTAACTTGTATGGAGACAATAGTATGGTTAGACCTTTAACTGTGCAAATGTGTTTACTTTTCCAGGTGTCAGCTGACTCTGTGTGTGTGTGTATGTGTGTGTGTCCAGTGAGTGTGTATTCAGGCCCAATAAAAACTGATGTAAACAATAGTGGTACGATTAAGGTAAACAGTTCTGCCCAGCTGATGTTCAGGTGGACATACCTGCCCCAGTGTGTGTGTGTGTGTGTGTGTGTGAGTGTGTGTGTACAGTTTATGTATCCCCGTGTGCGTTCCAGATGGCTTCTCCAGCTAACTGGAAAAAAACAGCATCACATTACACTCCCTTTGTTTCACCTCGCATAGTGTGTGTGTGTGTGTGTGTGTGTGTCTAAGTTGACTTAAAGGCTAATTTCTGGGGTCCTTGTTTCCCTTGCTCAGGACATGGGAAACACACAGACTGACAGGCATACAAACTGCTGGCCTTTAACCAGCCGTGGACATTTAACCTGACGAGCTCTACAGTAGGTTATGTTCCTGCTTTCACAGGCCAAGCTCAGCTCTGCTTTTAGCCAAAGAGCTTTGTGCATGTGTTGTATTTTCCACCGTATTTTAGCAGAAATCACTTCCAAACCTGGTACTCTGCAGTGGACACACATGGTTCCAATAAATGTACTGTGGTGTAACTTAAGAGCCAGTTAGGAGACATGCTGTTTCTCATAGGAAATGAAAGGCTGCCACAGTGAAAAGTCATTTAAACACTGTCACTCAGATGAGGACCAGAAAATGAACACAGACATTAAAAAAAAACAGTAAACAGAAAGAGACAGACAGGCTTTGACACTGGCAGACAGAAGTAAACAGTGTTTGAATATAAAGACAAACTGCTGCAGATCTGCAGCACCAAAGACAGACAAATGGGATGGACATCATACAAGCAGATGACTCTCACAGCCCATGGGACAGTGCTGACATCAGCAACTATGTCCAAAGGGGGAACAGAGGCAGTCTCTGTCTGCACAGAGGGCAGCTGGCACCTGTTGATGTAAATGGGAATCACATACACACACACACAGACTTTTCTCATTTTTATAGAACCATCTTAATTTTCCCAGATCTCTGTGACAGTGAATTTCAGTTTTTCTTTCTTGAAATTATATATTTTTTTAATTTAATAACACTATAACACATATATTGACGGTATGTCAGATAATTGCAGAAAACTGACTGGACTAACACCCACTTTTTAGCTTACACTTTGGGCAAGTTTGGATGTTTCAATAAAGTATAACATCCATCCATCCATATCTGCTTATCCGTTACCGGGTCGCGGGGGCAGCAGTCGCCACCCAAATCACATTGCTCCGTACCAACCCCCCTAAACCTTCCTGCGGGTGGTGAGTCCACTGGAAGGTACCAACCGCCTAACTGGGATTTTGAACTTATCCAGGAGTTGAACCCTGGGGTTTCACACCAATGACAGAGACATTGCCTCTGGGCCAAAGCGCCACTAAAGTATAACAGTTCAATTTTAGCTTGATTCCCTTTTCCTACAATAAAAATAGAACTATGGTAATGCTATTTTAAATTTTCAATGCTAAGCGATCCTAACATCAGGGGTTGAGTTAAGTTTTACGTCTCCTTTTCCTCTATGCACTTAAATGGCTTTTTTACTAGTCAAGATTGCAGCCATTGTTGTAGGTCATCACTGTTTCCATCCCATCACTTATTTTCCTTGCCTAATTAAAATTACATTGGACAGGAAACCCTTTCCAAAACTGGTGGTAGTGACCCTGTGAAATCCATGAAAAGCCAGGGAAGTTTCAGTGGAAAAAAAACTCCTGAAAAATTCCTTTAATTGAGTACCAACATAGCACATGTACTCTCATTTATAGTAAGTACTTCCTAGCACAGTCTTGACTTTTTAAATGTAAACTATCTGTTAGTTATGTATAATTCTCTGTCTCACATTAACTGAACCGAACTGGGTTCGGTTCCTTTACACCTTGAGTCATAGTTGTCTCAGCAGTTCTCTTTGCTGACAAGATACTGTTTCCTTCCTGCCCTTTCTGCACTGCAGTTTACTTTAGCTCACATGTTGATCTCTCTCTCTCGCTCTCCCTCCCTTTCTGTCATTCTCTGTCTGTGCACACACACTTTGGCCTGGCTTCTACTGTGCAGATGAAAGGTGAAAGGTACAAAGAGTAGAATAATCACTCACAGCTGCACAAGTGTTTTGCTCTGGAGGTCATTCTCGCTTGTATTGATGAAAGCGTGCCAGGGAGAAAGGGTGTTTGTTCTAGTCACCAGGGCAGCCCTTCTCTGCCCATTGTAAATATCAGACTTTGTTTGCATTATTGCTGCATTTTTGTTTTGGTCTTCTCTCTCTCTCTCTCTCTTACTATAATCTGCTATTGCTGGCCTTCCACACATTATTGTGAATGAGTAAAACCTCAGCCCTGTTGTGTGATCTTCCCTCAGTCAGCAGCAGCAATACCGCAGCCCTGCTTTTTTTTCTCGGATCAGCAAATCACTCCAGTGGTCAACAGAAACCGACACACACCATGAAAGCTGCAGTGATTAATATTTAACAAGCCTGTAAACATATTTCCTTGCACCACAGGATTGTAGTTGAATGGAAAATGAAGCAGAGCTGTCTTAGCCAATCAGATAATGCATAAGCCATTACATCATGGTCATAAAAAGTAATCAATGGTAGCGGCAACCTATTGTCGGCTGTGGCTGTTTGTTGTACGTAAGACAGCTGTTGAGATACAGTGGGGCCTTGAGATACGAGTTTAATCCGTTCCACAACAGCACTCCTATTTCGATCCACTCATATCTTGATTGCATTTTCCCAATTAAAAATAACCAATAACCAATTAATTCATTCTAGCCCCCTTGAAATAAAGTATAAGTTAATTAAAGTAAATTCCCCATCTAAACATCAAAAACATAGATATAAACAAATATATTGATAATAAAAAATAATAATAATTAAGGAAACATTTTATATAAATGTTATAGAAATGGGTAAAATAACCCAGCGAGGGACAGTGAGTGTCAGGGCCACTAAGCATAGGAGAAGGACTGGGAGTGAGGACTCAATTTAGATGATAGAGAGAGAGAAATAAAGCGACAGTAGCTTCAGGTAGCTCGTGTCTCGAGGCCCCACTGTAGTTGATAAATGCGACTAATCTCTGATAAGTTTCTGAGGCTTACTGCAGCTATACTGTGGAGGAAAAGTAAAAAAAAACTTTTCCCAAAAGTAACTGAAGTATTTGAGCCTCTGTTCATGTGTGTATGTTTTCTAAAGAAAGAGGAACAAACAGAAGGCATATGTCTGCACAATGAGTTAAATGACAATTATTCAGTCAGGAAAAAGGGTAAGAAAAAGATCACACAAGGTGGATGGAGCAGAGAGGGGTAGAATGAAAGGAGACGTGGGAGGAAGAAGAGGAGGAGTCAAACACGGGATGTTCTTTGTTACCCTCATCGAAGTGTGTCTATATTTATCAGTTGTTGTTTTTTTTTTATTGCCCTATTAATATGTCACTGTGTGTGTGTGACAGGAAGTTCACTGTGGCATGTGGATTTGACTCAGTGTGAACCTCGGGTAAAAGGCTGACCTAATGCCAAACTAATTAATGACAACATGACTTCAAACTTTACATTTACTGCATTCTTTTTCATGTATTTCCCTGCTTTATGTTGGAGGAATTTGTTGAATGAATCCTGAATAAATTAAATATTTGTATAATTATGACATCATTGTCATAGGCTGTACTTACAAATATCAAGTACTGGACAATTTTCCACCACTTTCAATGATTAGTTTGTTTACCATTTGTCACATGGGTATCTCCTCACATCCCAGGATGCCTAAAGTGTAGTGTACTGTATGTGTCAACACATAATGACTGTCATTACAGTTGGACAACCCGTATGATGTTACTCTGTTGTTAATTAGCACTAATCTTATTTTGGTGAGATGAGCTGACAGTGTTGAGTGTCTGTGAGCTGTGAGAGCTGCTATTCTTGGTTCCCACCTTGTTAGTGTAGTGGCTGAGAATTTGGCGTGTCTGTAGTGAGGCTGGTTGGAAGTCGAGGTAATTAATATTAGTAGATAGAGTAGTAAATATTTTCCATGAGTCAACTGGTCATTTGGTCAATGAAATAACGCAAATGTTGGAGAATTCTGTTAGTTTTAAAAAAATACAATAATGTACTTGTCATTGTGAAGCTACATGCAATATTTCATGTTTTTATGTACTTTATGTAATGACATGGTATTTACATGAAATGATGTAATGACAATTATATGTATGAGTGTTTTGTTTTTTTTAACCATGCTTGTTTGATTATGAAATAAATCCTGACCTGCAGCCCAACCTACAACAGAGGCATTTTTATGGTTACAGTTTTTATTATGTCATTGGTGAGGAAGGGACAAAGTGCAATTCTGAAAGATGTGGTAATTGGTGGGAATCGTTTGTCTTTTTTGGGGGAGAATGTCAGACAAATCTGAACATGTTTTAACATAGATAATGTCCAGTGATAAAATGTCTGTGGCTCACTTGTTATGTCTGAATGAATGTCTCTGTTTGTGTCTCCTGCAGTGGCAGAACAGGCCACTACACAGTTCAGCAGAACCAAAACACACAACATTGTGGGAATGCTTCTTCCACCAGTGTCAACAAAACTGGCAGCCTTACCTCACTGCCACTCTCCAGTTCAGGCTCAGGGTCATGGTCCAGGTCTAAGGCCTCTTCCAGTCCACGGTCTCACTCCAGCCCACGGCACAGTCCCAACTCTAGGATCAGACTTCGACCTTCATGTCAGCGCTCTAACTCTCAGGTACTGTAGGCTCCAGGTGGTGTTGTGGTTAGTCGTAGCAATAATGTGAGCAGAACTGAGTTCAGATGACTTCTGCTTTGACTGTGATTGGTCCAGTTATTCTTTTCTATTTTCCTTTACTTGCTTAGAGAAGCTCGCTGTTGCTTTTTGTGTAATACATATAAAAAAGAAAAGAATTATCCAGCTTTGTTTAAGATTCTGAACTAAACTGAGAAGATAGACTTTATAATAATTATAATAATTTAACTTAGTTCAGTGTACAATATTATCAGGCAGTGATTTTTGTGTTGCAAAAGTTTCATGTTGCATTGCTTTTGTTATTTTGATTTGTTCACGTTAAAGAGTCAAAAAACTGTTGAGTTGTTTTGTTATGTTTTTTTTTAATTGTTCGACTGCAAAGCACAAAAAATTACCTATCTATAAGGTAGACCTTTATTATGAGGTTGCCCTAAGTTCTTATGTACTTATACCTTAGATCAGTTATCCTCAACTGTCGGCTCACAGGCTGGATCAGGCATCTCATTGTTGTTGTTAAAGAAGTCAGTCTTGTTCAAATGAAAATAATCAAGCTTGATATTGTTCTTTAATACATGTCTATGTAAAGCCATAGTCAGATATACTGTTGTTCTGAAGCATTGGAAACAGATGAATAAAAAATAAATAAATTGGTAATGGTAAAATTTCACAGTGGTTGGTCGACATGTACATCTGTTCTTCATACCTTTTGTCTGAAGTAATGGAGCAGTCGAGATGTTTTTTTAATGTTCCCTAGTTTTATAGCAGCAAGAAGATTCAGTAAACATTTATCAAATGAATTCCGAGTTTACAATGTGTTTAAATGTAGCTCAGTTTTATCTAAACTGTATGTGTTAGTGAATGGAGAGGCGCGGGGGAGGGGTTGTAACACCCAGTGTCACTGACATCACGTCTTTCAGGACTCTCTAGATGAGTTGGAGATGGACGACTACTGGAAGGAGGTGGAAAACATCACTCGCTCTGGAGAAGGAACAGGGAGGAGTGAAGGAGGAGGAGAAGGAGAAGTTCAAGAGGAGGAGCAGCAGAAAACTCCAGAGGGTAAAATACACCCTGACCTTTTAACTTTTAACGTGTCTGTTTGATCACACGCACAAAGTACAACATTGTACATAGAAGAAAAGTTAACATCAGTGTTTCGTGCAACTTCTTCTAAACACTCAGTGCAAAAGACGGAAGACAGAAATATTAAAGATGTATAATTCTGACTGGATGGGACAGGAATGTAATGACTGTAATGTAATGTGCTCCATGGAAAATATTGTGTACAACCCAAGGGAATAATATGTCTTGCTCCATGGAAAATATTTTGTACAACCCAAGGGAATAATATGTCTTGTGGTTGTCCTCCTCTCTGTTTTCTGTTTAATAATATTTCTGAAACATTTGTTTTGTGGACATTTGCTCATTCTCCAGTTTATCAGACACCATCTATACTCCTCCAACTTCATTTTGTACACATAGCATTGTGAGGATGTTTTTTTTTTCCTCTCTCTCTTTGTTGCTTCGTTGTGTAAAGGCATTCTGGCTGTTAAAAAAAAGAAAAAGAAAAAACAGTCCAAGCTGCAGCTTGTCCATACATGTGCTGTGCTGTTTTTCACATGCAGTGCAATAAGGAAGGGCCTGTGTTGTGATCTGTATTTCCTAGTCTTATTTAGCCTGCTTATGAAGACCATTGTTCTCAGAATTAAACAAACCCATCCTGTGCAGAGTGTGTTTCCAGTTTTATCTTTTCTCTATACCTGAGTTAAACACTTGAATACATTCCATTCAATGCCATTGTGAACAATACTGGGCTTAAATACCAACTTCTGAGTTATGTCTTCCTGTGGCTGCTTTGGAATAACATTTATGTCTGTAAACAAATTCAAGATGTATCCTGTAAATTTTCTCCATGATGTTGTCTTGTAGAAGGAGAGCAGGAGGAGGCGTGGCTCACAGAGGCAGGGCTCGCACGACTTTTTGATAATTCCTACACTGACCACGATCAGGTAGCGATCATGAGATGTCCATCAGATTAGACTGGCATTTATACCTTACTGTATATCATCAATTGATTTTTTTTCATCTCAATGCTGCTAGAGCTAAAGCTTCACATTTCTTTTACAGGAAGAGGACAGCGCAGCATTTCTGTCCACACTCACCAGAACTCAGGCGGCAGCCGTAGAACGCCGTGTGACGTCACTACAGCAGACGCTACGGCGGCGCAACAGACAGCACTTTCCTGATGTTAGGGATATATTCAGGCCTCCCGATAAGGTCAGGGGATTCACACTGTAGCACTTTGCACCAAATCACACTTTGTGTTAATGTGGTTTTGTTGTTCCCAAAGGGGAAGCTGTCACAATAACAAGACTGGATTTTGCAAAAAAAATCAATGGATAAAATATATAGAATATAAAGGTTTAAAGCTACTAATTTAAAGAAACACTGTCAGCATGATATAACGTTTTCTTTTTTATCTATCTTTATGTATGCACACTCTGACCATTAATTAACAGATAAGCTAATATGTAACATGAAAAAATGTACTGAGGAACCAGTGCCTTAGGAATTTTCGACCTGTTGAACATTACACTGTGTCCTGAATACTTCTGTGCCTCGTGCTGCGGTCTGCAGGAGGAGGAGCCAAGGAAAAAGGAAGAAGTAAGTGAGAATGGACAAAAAGAAGTCACATCAGCCGGTGGGTTCAATATGCCATGCACAGACTCATATACACACACACACACACACGTATTCAAAATGAGTCAGCAGTGAGAATGACTAACACAGACCCAAAAGAGACAATTTCTGCATAGCAACCTATAAACAAGTTTAAGAAAAACAAAGCAATAAAAAAATGAATGCCTACAAATGTCAAATTAAAAACTAGGAATGTTGTGCACTAATGATTCACCTTTCTTTATGATTTTCTTTTCCTCCGAAAAATAAATCATCACTTCAGATAGTGTGTAAGCTCAGTAAACACAAAGCTACAATGGGAAGAATGTGTTATTGCTGGTAAAATGCAGTTATTCCTCAAAACAGTGTGAGTTCTGTATTAATATTTATATTCCTAAGGAAAATCTCCTCTGCTAATTCTAGACATAAAGCAGCAGTGATTCAGTCTGCAATAGCAGTGTGGAAATTAGGCTGTTTTTTCAACTCATACCAGTTCTGCCATGGTTGGTATTAGAACCGGCAAAACTCCAATCAACACAATTCTTTAACCACAGGCTGACCCAAAAATGTCTCATCTATTTAAAATAAAACATTAAATGCTGTAAACCGAGCTTTTTTTTTTTAACCAAATAGTTCACCTCATTTTACAGCCTTCAGTCATACACACTGACAATAAATAAGACAATGACAGCATACTGTATACTGCAGTGCTTTTAATACCTGGTCAGTGCAACACTGATGTGAGCGAGCAAACACTTCGCTAACAAGCAGATAAATACTGAGCATAAACCTGTTCATTGTCAGTCCCAGCAAAAACAAAAAACTGTAAAATTGTGGACAGACACTACAGACTAAAAACACTGTGAACGTAAACACCTTTGATGCCTCTGTGTATACAGCTGAGCTGTACCTGTGCAAATATGACCTGTTATGTGTTTTACTTCTTCTTTTCTCTGTCAACAGAAGTGGAGACGGAGCTGAACGTCGAAGTGGCTTTTTCAGAACAAGCACTCACTTACAGGGATAACCATCAGCTGTTGAAGGTCAACACATGCTCTAACTCAGCTGACGACAAGCTACCTGTGAGACACGCGCACACCTCACCACACCACATCGCTCACACTCTATTCAGTCTGTCCATTTTGAGTAGCAAACAAGTGGTACTATCTTATAATCTGTGGAGAGTTAGTGTTTTTTTTTTTCTAAAAAAATGTATGGTGGGTTTTTATTCAAGTTTGTTCTTACAGTTTATTATTGAGGGACTAATGCTCTGAGGCTCAGTAGGTGGAGCGGATCATCTTTCAACCGGAAGGCAAGACACTTAACCCCCATGTTGCTCCTGACAGCCATGCTGCCACTGTGTGAATGTATTAGTGAATGGAAAATCTGTAGTAAAAAGTACTGCAATGTGATCATCCATCTACAGAGGAGCATTTACTGAGTACTTTGTCTTACAATCGAAATATCAGTGTGTATCAAGTATTCCACAACCTGAGACTTCTTAATTTTTAATACATACAATATTTAAATGTATCCAATTAATATCCTAAAATACAGTGTTTTGAAGTGGTCGTTGTGCTGTTATTCAATAATGCTGTTCAATGAAGTTTTTTTATTGTTAATAAGAATTTCCCATTTAAATTTAGGACTATAGTGCCATCTCCTGGTGATTGGTGACAGATTTTTCCACCACTAAAATAAATTTGAACTTAAAAAAATACTCTCCATTAGGAGTTTCATCCTTGCATTAAGCATTAATGTATGGCTTTCCTCGCCTCACACTAACTCCACTGTGTCTCTGTTCCCTACTGTGTGCTTTACTCCTCCAGAACTTCAAGTTGCTTCGAGATAAAACAGGTCAAACTAAAATAGGAGATCTGTCTCCTCTGGACATGAAAAAAGTAAGTTTGTTAGGGCATGCTGTAAAAACTGAAAACTGTGTCCGGGTGCATGCATCTTCATAATAAGACTTGTTCTTTTACTTGTTTTTCTAGGTCCGTAGATTAGTACACGTGGAGATGACCGCTCTGTTTGACACTGCTGGACTAGACCTCAAGACACACAAAGCTGTCAAAGTTAAGACTAAAGGTAACACACGTACACACACACACACACACACACAAACACTTTAATTTTATAAGTCAGAGAAAGGCCTGCAGACCTTTTTCACAGTACTGCGTACACACACCAGTTCCAGTTTAACTTAGGATTTGTGTTTGTGTGCAGAAATTGGTCTGTTTGGGGTTCCCCTCACAACTTTACTAGAACAGGATCAGAGACGAGCTCCTGGGACCAAAGTGCCATTTGTACTTAAGAGGGTGAGAAACAGCCTGTAGCTACTGTATGTCAGTGTGATACAACTGTAATGATGAGAGCAGCTGTTTAGAGGAATCAAAAACATGTTATAAGTGTTATCCATGTAATTTACTTTCCCTGTATTCACTATTATCACTGAGGCCTATTTGAAACTTACATAAACAAAACACCACTCTCCTCACCAGCTCATCTGTCATATAGAAGAGGATGGACTGGACACAGAGGGGATTCTTCGGATCCCCGGGGCAGCCGTTAGAGTCAAGGTGGGTTGAAGAGAAACAGACCATCAAAGATAACATTAACATTAATAACATTAATGTTAGTAAAGGGGACAGAAAGAGAAGATCTTTCTGTCCTGTAGAGCATATCATACCAAAGACCTGACCTGAATAAAGTTTGTAACCTTGACCAGTGAGCATTTATGTCTGTCCCATCCTCAGTCACTTTGCCAGGAGCTGGAGTCGTCCTTCTACGAGGGCATGTTTCCTTGGCAGCAGTTGAAGCAGCATGATGCTGCCAGCCTTCTGAAGCTGTTCATCAGGGAGTTGCCCCATCCTTTACTGACTGTGGAGTACCTCAGTGCATTTATCGCAGTCAACAGTATGTAAACTGTCAACTCGTTCAAGAAGTTGCAGTTTCAGTAATCATTTGAATTAGAAGGAATGTTGTGTCCTTTTTTCCCACAGACCTACCCACAAAAAAACAACAACTACAGGCTTTGAACCTGCTCGTCCTCTTGCTTCCTGAGCCCAATCAGGACACTTTAAAGGTAGACAGATTTGACTGATAGATGGAGAATATACAGGAAGTGTGATTAAAGCTGTTCACATGAGAGAAATGCGACATCTATAATGGAGTATTTGCGAAAAATATTTTTATCCATTTTCTGTTACTTTTGTCTTTTTTTTCCTTTATTGCAGGCTTTGGTGGAGTTCTTCCAACATGTGATTGACCATCAGGCCAAAAATAAAATGACTCTAAATAATGTCTCTGTTGTCATGGCACCAAACATCTTCATGTTTAAAGGCTTCCGATCCAAGGTTACAGAGCAGCAGGAGATTTCTATGGCAACCAGCACAGCCAACATTGTCCGCTTGCTGATTAGATACCAGAATCTTCTTTGGACAGTAAGCATCAGAACTCACAATTCAACCTTTCTGTATTTTACCATCCACCTTTGAAGCTGTGCCGACATTTGTACATTCAAAATAATTTTTTCAGATTTGTTCGGAGTAATGGTACCAGGCTGTGCTGGCTAACATAATTCTGTGTGTGCATCCTGTGCTCAGATCCCCAAGTTCATTGTGACACAGGTCAGACAGCACAACATGGAAAGCCAGCGGAAACAAAATAAGGAGAGAGCTGTCAGAAAACTCCTGAAGAAGATCACCATCGACAGACCTGCTGATAAAGCTCTGCCTGAAGTAGGTGTTTAAACTCCACGATTTTGTCCACTCTTACAACCATCTTAGTAGATACAAACATGAATATTAAGTTACATGAGATTTTGGATTTTTTTTTTTATCCAGGTGAGTTGCATTTCTTTTCTAACATCTAAAACACAACAACAGTAATTCATGTATTGCTATTACTAATAACGAAAATTATATTACACAAAACTCACTTTTATTATTTAAATTTGCATCGATATGTAGGTACATTTTGAGAATGGAACTACTGTATATCTGAAGTCCATGTTGTATAAACATTTATGCAGCGCTCAGTAGGTAGAGGGCGGCAGACTACCGTAATTCTGGTGGTGAAAGATACGAGTCATTGCACTGTAGGTTGTGTTACTTCTGTATTGCCAGTATCAGAAGTAGTAGACTTTTAACTATTAATTATTAGTAACAGTTGTAACTGTTAAGTTAGAGGAGTTTAATTATTTTGAAGATTCATATTCATAAAGCAACAACAGTTCTGGTGTAAACACCAGATTAATGGGAAAGTTTGGAGTTTGTTACAAAGATTTACCCCGTCATTTTTTATTTTTATCTGTGTGTTTGTGGACTCTTATTTTGTACAAAGATAATGTTAATGTTTGACTTACTTCTGTCTGTTAATCATCAGGAGAGTTCACAGGGATTCATTCGAGTCCAGGCTCCACAGTTCAGTAAAGTTTCTATGGCACTTCAGCTCACTGAAGAGTTGCAGGCTGCAGATGTGTTAACGCGCTTCCTCAGCCAGGACAGGTAATGGGATTACAGTTCCTGCTGCACTGTTTTTACAATCACAAACCAGAAACCAAAACAATAGTTCCCTTCTCGGTGTACAGCAGAGCTGATCCTCTCTCCTTTTCTCCTTCACTCTTCTCGGCTCTTTCTCTCCCCCTCTTTTTTCCTCAGCTCTGTGACGGTGAAAAGCGAAGATCTGTGTCTCTATGAGATTGGTGGAAACATCAGTAAGTTTCCTTTGGTTTGATATCCTAGCTTCATAGTTTATTGTGTTTTCAAGACAACAACAACATAAAATTTACTTGAAACACACATTGACTGTATTTTGAACAACATGGAATAAAACATGTGTCTTGTTACCACTGAGTGTTATTTCTGCCTTTTTTATTCCAGAGGAGAGATGTCTCGATGGTGAAACGTACATGAAAGACCTCTTCCAGCTGAACCCTGCAGCAGAGTGGGTCATCAAAACTGTACAACGATAACCTGGCTTACATACTGTACCTGTACCTCAATAGATGCTGGACCTGCAGTGCCTGTTCTGTCCACAGGATCGTTCTAAAACCAGACACCACTAGAGTCTTAATATTTGAGCCTGGTAACACAAAGTAGACATTTGGTTATCCTCTAAATCTACCACAGAAATGGGAGTTTTTTATGCTCCACATATAAAGATTTGCTTTTCAGGGGAATACATTTTAATATCAATGCTCCTGAGTGACCACTAATGAACAGTGTGTGTTTGCCTCAGCACTTAAATCACATTATTGTGATTTTTATTATTGTGTGATACTGTATGTATTTCATTGATGAGCTGTGATTTATTACCACTGATCAGTTTGTTGTGCCTGATACCTTAAGCTGAAATATAAAATATATTTAATGTGGCAGTGAACTATTAAATTCAATAAAATACCAAACATTGATTTTTGTTTTGTGTAGACCACTGCTGGCTATTATTTAACATTTAAATCAAAAATCACTAAAGATAACAACAGGTAATTTCCATGTCAGTGTATTGAAGCTAAATTGTCACAGTAACCAGGAGTGGGTGCAAATGCTGTCCGACACAGCATGTCATGTAGCAGGATGACCCTGTGTGGTTGTACAAAAATAATCAAATGTTTCCACTTTTGGAATTGCATGTTAAAACCATCAGGTAACCAGGACACACAATGACAACATTTCAACGCTCAATGTTTTAACTGGATGTTTGAGTGTGTTTACATAATGTAATACATCTAGAACTGTACAATTTAAATATGCAAATAAAGATTTTTTTTAAGTCTTTCTAAACTTCTACAAACAAATATTTAGGCTCATGTGAATTTACCAAAGATGCCATCATCCAAAAGGTTGATTTTTATTTCATGGTTATGAACAACATTTAAAACTATTTAATATTAAATTGAATGGTTAACAAAACAAGATAAACAAGTAGCTAAACACTACTTCCCTTGCAGAATGTAGACAACAGTGCACTGGCAGCATTGAATTCAGCTGGAAAATACAAGATCTTGTATCATACATTTGTCTGCACCCTGATCCTGTGTGGTTTCTCAGCAGCCTGTGGAGGATCTTATCAGTACCACTGGGTCAGACATAACAGGTGTTTCCTTGTGGAATGCCAACAACTGTCACTTTTTTTCTGTTCTATTTTAAATTCCTGTCTTACATGTTAGTGTTTACTGTGAAGTTTGTATTGTTCAAAAATTGTTTTTGTGTCTTATTGTCTGCCTGAGAGAGGACCACTAAAACTGCCTGTAAATAAACATGCACCTAAATAAATGCTGCTGTTATGAGTCAGTTTATATGCAAAGACTTGGAATTACATTGTCTCAGATACACAGCATGTAAGTAATTATTAAATATATTTAAAAATTAGATTTTTAGACATTTAATCAACCTTTAATTAAAAAAGAGATAATATATAGGATATTTATGCAATGGCTAGATAAATATACATAAATGAGTCAGAGAGAACTAATTCTGTGATATATATGTTTAAAAATAAAAATATAATGTTACCTATTCACCGTAATGCCTATATGAGGCATACTATTTTAAAATTATTTTGCTGTAAAACATTGTGTTATTATTACGCCCTACTGACACGCTGTGGTGTCGTGGACAAAGCCGTCAGACAGAAATATAATTGTGTACGCACCTGATTGGCCGGTACGTTTTTAGCCTACGTTCGTTGGTTAGTGACGGGCGAAACGTGCCCTGATTGGTCACTTCTAGGGAATAGGAAGTGTCTATCAGTAGTAGTGCTTAACATGGAAAGCTAAGTACAATACTGTGCTGTCATTATGAAGTAAACGCAGCTATCTGCTTAAATATTCGCACTTAAATCCGGGTGTCTTTATTATAAAGAAGTATTGTAAGTGTTCAGGAAGTTCGATCAACAGCAGGGCATATATTTTTTGTGACTTGGAGTTCAACGTCTTCACACTGTTACTAATCTAGCTTAGCTTTGCACTGGAATTTGTTAGCGTCCGTGACAGCTACAGGAGCTAAAATTATCCTTGTTAATGTGCACACCGAATTAGGTGTCTTGTCGTCCGCTCGGTCCGCTTGCGCGTGTGTTTTAATATTTGTGTTAATAGTGCTGCTCACCAAAAGGACTCGGTTCTAGCTGAATGTCGGCTGTTAGTCTTAGCAGAAGCTGCAGTAGCTAGCATAGTGTTAGCCTGTCATTATCAGCCATGGAGTTGAAAAAGTGTGTGAAAACAACGAGAACATTTTATCTGCTGGCTCTTTTGTTGGTTTTCGTCAGTGTGGTGACCTGTGGTAAGTGTCATTGTTTCAGTGTCTCTCCCTTATTAGTTTAGTGGGGCACAGCTGTTCTGTTTGAGTAAAGAGAACAGGATGTCCCATAATCACTGTATTGTTGACATTTTTCAGATGAGGATCAAGACGGAAATGACGGTCCTGAATTGAAGGTATGTTAGAAACAGTCAACATATAATCCAGCCATTTAAGGAAAACAATAATAATACCTCTAAGAATATGGCTGGAAACTAATTAACTAACGTCAACATTATGAGCTGCAGTGTCTGTTGTTTCGATTATTTGGTGTCCTTGCTGTTTAAGTTAATAAACAATGCACAGGTTGATTCATTCTTTTGCTTTGTAAATATTGTCTTATTTAAACTCTTGATTTTACTAGTTAAATTTTATTTGAAAAACTGTAATTCAAAAACTGGTCATTTACCATGGTTTTGACATGTCCACAACATTTAGCCTTTTTAATGTTTATGTAATGTATGTGACATTTTCCCTTAGTCTTATCATGATCCAGAGAATGAAGAGGAGGAAATCCATATGGCGTCAGTAATAGTGGCAGCTGCTTCTGTGTCTTCTGGTCGGGACGGAACTCAGCCAGAGGAAAAGAAACAGGCTTTAGATGATGGACTGGAGGGAGAGTTGAAGGAAGACCTGCCTGAACAGCCTCCTCCGACTGAGGAGAAACCTAAAGAAGGTAATTTATTCACAACAACAAAGGTCACTTTGTAATCCATTATAAACTCATACGATGCTTTTACTTGACAAGGGTTTATTGTGTCTTTATTTCAGGCTCACACGGTATAACAACATTTTTTTAAATGTAGAAACATTCCCACCTTTTTTATTTTCTTTTAAGGTTTATAAGTATTGTGCTTTGCAGTTGGTGTAGTCAATGTGACTACAACCAATTTTTATTTCTGATAAATTTCTTTTTTTTTAATATACTAACGTTTTCGTTTTGCTGACTCAGACAAAACAAATTTGTGTGGTTTCACACTGCCAAATTGTGTAAACAGTTAAACCCCATGAGAAATCAATGCCCTGTGCACCTGTGCCTCCTCTTGCAGTGGGTTACATCATGCAATGCAAAAGGCACTGTGTAAATCATGAGCTGTATATGGGGATGAAAACTCACAACAAACTTTGATGAATTTAGATGATTTTTCTCTTTACTCCATAAATTAACAGCCACATCATTGTGTTGTTTAATCAGTGATTAAATCATTATTTTGCTTTAATGTTTTCTGTTATACAGTTCCTGTGGTGAATGGAGGCACAGCTCACGGAGAGCCCTGCATCTTCCCATTCTTATTCCAGCATAAGGAGTATATGGACTGCACCACTGATGGGCGGGGTGACGGCAGGCTGTGGTGTGCCACCACATACGATTATGATCGGGAAAAAAAGTGGGGATTTTGTGAGAGTAAGTTGTCCATTCTTGAGCGTATAAGTATAACCTTTTGCAGAAGATGTTATTCTTAACATCCTCAATTGTTGTGGGGATTTACACAAACACACTTACTGAATCCTTACAGCTGCAGTACAGGATCATTGCAACTGATTTGGAGTATGGCAGGATAATGAATGATGACTGTAACCCTTTGCTTGATGTTGTCTAAAAGCAAAAAATAATATTTATGTTTTCTTCTGGTTTCATTAGCGGAGGAGCAGGCACAGCAGAGACTGTTGGCAGAGGAACTGGAGGAGCAGTACCAGAATATTCTGCACATGCTCAATGTCACCACTAGAAAGGCACAGAAAAAAGAGTGAGTAATTGATGCCGATACTGATTTGCTTTTTTCATGTACTTTGTCCTCGATGATCTGTTCCTTTGTAGGAGGCACTTATGATGTGCAGCTGTTTCTCAGTTCCTCTTTTCTCAACACACTGAGTCACGTTATTCCTGTTTCCTTAAATGTCACGGTCCTGTTTGTTGTGCACACATTACTTCCGTTACCACCTCAGCTCACTTCAGTTTATCCTGCCCATCTGACTAGGTTGTATGAGAAAATGCTCCGAGTGTCAGAGAAGGGTCACCAGAAAGCTACAGAGAAGGTGGCGTACGCCATGTTGTTTGGAGATTACATGAACCAGAACATCACCAAAGCCAAAGAGATGTTTGAGAAGCTGGCAGTGGACGGTTCACCCAAAGCTCAGATGGTACATCATTTTAAACTGTAGAGAAAATTCGAGATTATGGATTAGACAAAATTGAAAAATATAATTTGTGGTATTTCATATGTATAAAAACACAATTCCTCATGTATTTCTCGATAATATCTGCTAGTAAAAATACTTTGCTGATTTATGTGTATTTGAAAAGATCAAGCTGTAGTAATTTTACTTGCCTTAATAAAAATATTGCTTTTTATTAGTAGTACGTTAATAATAATTTCTGTTATTTTTTTCGTCTTAAAGGCCCTTGGCTTTTTGTACGCAGCAGGACTCGGAGTTAACTCAAGTCAAGCTAAGGTGGGTTTTGCTTTATTAGAATTGTAATTAGGTATTACATTGATATATTTAAATTTATAACAGGTATCTTATACAGAAAATGTAATTTCTTTAAATATTACCTACATATTGGTTTGTGCTTGAAACTTTATATTTTCTTGTCACTTCAGGCCTTGGTTTACTATACATTCAGTGCTCTTGGAGGAAACATGCTAGCTCATATGATTCTGGTGAGTCCATTTATTGATGATCTTTACAGTTGCACATTCAATGACTATGGTTTTCAAAAAGTTTTTTTTTTTGTCTCTTCAGGGATACAGATACTGGGCAGGTGTGGGTGTTCCTCAGAGCTGTGAGTCGGCACTAACACACTACAGGCTTGTGGCTAACCAGGGTAAGTTGAAAAGTTAATGCAGTAACCAGATGTAAGGATGACACTAATGATCCCTGGCTACATGCTAAATATTTTCTCTGCTCTTCATCACTTCCTGTAGTGGCCAGTGACGTGTCGCTGACAGGCGGCTCAGCCGTGCAGAGAATCAGACTTTTAGATGAGGTGGAGAACCCGGGCTCCACCAGCGGCATGTTGGAAGAAGACCTGATCCAGTATTACCAGTTTCTAGCTGAGAAGGGAGATGTGCAAGCTCAGGTTACAAAACTTTTTTATTATTATTACAAAAAGGACTGTTACTTTTTTTTTTTTCTAAATCGATTTGTCATAGTTATTTAAAGATTCTGTACATCTCCATCTTTACACCAGAATTGTTTTCTTTTCCTTCTTTTTGTAGGTGGGTCTGGGTCAGCTTCATCTACATGGAGGACGTGGAGTTGAACAAAACCACCAGGTGTCTTTCTATTAATAATTTCATAAAAATTATCACCAGTTATTTTAATTATGAGAAATCTGAAGCTGATGCTTTTTGTCCACCAGAGGGCGTATGACTACTTTACTCAGGCTGCAAATGCAGGAAACACGCATGCAATGGCTTTCCTTGGCAAGGTGGGTGAAATGAGATGAATATTTAGTTTTGTTGTTTTTTTTTCCTATTGAAGTGTCTGTAATATTTGTTTTTCTTTTTACCCTTCTGTCACTTTTTGTATATGCAAATATTGTGAAAATACTGCCCACACTGTGGGAGTAAAGTCAGATAAATGAAGAGCTGCTCTGAGTCTCTTTCAAAATGTAGTTGGCAGTGCTGTGCTTGAAACTGGATTTGTACCTAAATTTGTTAATACAAGACTATAGCCATCTATTTTATCTATTTATCCATTTAGAAATTGTAATTTAATGTTTAATGTTTTTTCATTCTTTTGAATCTCTTTTTTTTTTGTCTTATGTCTCTCAGATGTATTCAGAAGGCAGTGAGTTTCTGCCTCAGAATAATGAGACAGCTTTGCAGTACTTTAAGAAGTCTTCTGATTTGGTAAGAATAGAAATTAAACAATATATAAAAGACCTCTTTTACATAAAAGTGTTGATTTAAGTGTCATTATTTTTTAAAACACAGGGTAATCCAGTAGGACAGAGCGGCCTGGGCATGGCTTATCTGTATGGAAGAGGTGTCCCAGTGGTAAGGAACATTAGTTTTTTAAAGTTGCCTTTTCTTTTTCAAATGAAATTTATGGCTGTTATAAATCTTAGTTTTTAAATTTGTGAAGCTTTCTCTCTGTGTGATGGTGTTGAACTGAGAAGAGATTTTCATTCCCTAACTTGTGTGTTTTCAGAACTATGAGCTGGCACTGAAATATTTCCAGAAGGCAGCAGAGCAGGGCTGGGTGGACGGGCAACTCCAGCTGGGAACCATGTATTACAGTGAGTGTTGTGCACATAAACAGACATTTGTGCATCTACGTGGTGTGTAAACATTTGACACCAAGTCTTTGGTCAGAGATTTTTCTCATTTGTGCCTTTCTCTCTTCCAGTATTTCCTTTGAATCATTAATATATTTTTATTTTCTATTCATTGGATTATTTCTTTTCATACATTGTTATTGATATTATTTTCTTTTCTTTTTTGTCCAGATGGTATCGGTGTGAAGCGGGATTACAAACAGGCACTCAAGTTTTTCAACTTGGCATCACAGGCTGGTCACATCCTGGCCTTCTACAATCTGGCACAAATGCATGCCACCGGCACCGGTGTGATGCGCTCCTGTCACACTGCTGTGGAGGTAAGCTATTCTCCATAGCTTTGACTAAATATGATATTATAGTGCTCTCACTCCAGATCCAACGATCAGAGTGTAATCCAAACAGATGGCAAAAATGTAATGAAGCTCTCGTTATAGCTCTTTGGTCCCTAATTTATTAAGAAGGTTGCTTGTAAGTTAATTTTAATAGTCTTTGAGTTTAAAAGTAAGAATCCTCAGAAATGGCACTTAATTGTTTGCACTCTGTTTCATGAATGGTTCATGCGTTGACCTTTGTCTTTTTTGCAGCTTTTCAAGAACGTGTGTGAGCGTGGCCGTTGGTCAGAACGTCTGATGACAGCCTACGGCAGCTTCAAGGAAGGGGAGTCTGATGCCGCACTGGTGCAGTATCTGCTACTGGCTGAGCAGGGCTATGAAGTGGCCCAGAGCAACGTGGCTTTCATTCTGGACCAAAGTAAGAAGAAAACAGAGGTTTTATATTTAGACTAGAATGAGGGAGAGAGAGAGTAAAGTCCTGGTAACTCTTTAGCTCTTTGATGTTTGACATTTTTTCCTTTCACTTGCATTTTCAAGCAGAAGGTGCAAAGATCTTCAGTGAGAATGAGACCTACCCTCGCGCTTTGCTCCACTGGACACGAGCTGCAGCACAAGGTGAGTCCTAAACATCTGCCCCTCATTAATTCTACAACATCACTCCATTCAATTCTGCATAAAGAACTCTTTGTTGGAATTTGTCAACACAAACATTGTTGATCTATTGCCCAGGTTACACTGTAGCGAGGCTAAAACTTGGGGACTATCACTTCTATGGCTACGGGACCGATGTGGACTATGAGACAGCGGTGATCCACTACAGACTGGCCTCAGAGCAGCAGCACAGTGCTCAGGCCATGTTCAACCTGGGCTACATGCATGAGAAAGGCCTGGGCATTAAGCAGGTGTGGAGCAGAGTTTCACTGCTGACACCTCTCTGCAGTGTCTCGTTATTACATTTATGTTCATTCTTAGCTTTAGTTGATAGAATTTCACTGTTCTGTTTATGGACACAACAGTCTGGTTTCTGATTTCTAAAAAGTTTGTTTTTTGTTTTGCAGGACATCCATTTAGCAAAGCGTTTCTACGACATGGCAGCTGAGGCCAGTCCTGATGCTCAGGTCCCAGTTTTCTTAGCTCTGTGCAAACTGGGTCTGGTTTACACACTTCAGTACCTGCAGGATCTGAATGTAAGCACTTCAATTCTCTCAAAATGCACAAATAAAAGCTGTCCAACAGCTGGGTGGGGCTTTTTGTGTGCAATTGGAAAAAAAAGTAAAATGATCATATTTTTTGTAATAATAATTTGTTTGTGGTGTATTTTCTCACAGTTGAAGGAGGCCATGTCTCAAGTGGATCTGGACCAGCTTCTGGGCCCAGAGTGGGACCTCTATCTTATGACGGTCATCGCCCTTCTCTTGGGGACCGTCATTGCCTACAGACAGCGCCAGCACCAAATCGTAGTTCCAATCCGTCCACCACCAGCCACTCCTGCGCCGACGCCACCTGCCAGGCCACGTCAGGAACAGCCACAAGCCCAGGCTGAGCCCCAGGAACAGGTTGATACACAGGCTCAGGGAGCAGGAGCCCAGGTAGAGGAGGAGGAGGAGGAGGAGGAGGAGGAGGAGGAGGAGGAGGAGGAGGAGCAGGAACAGCAGGCAGCAGTGAGAGGACCGAGTAAAGACAGACAGATGAACAGACATGGGCTGTCAGCACCACTGCATGGAGCAGCTGCAACTGCCATGAGCTGAATACCTGCTGGTCGGAGCTCCTCTTACTTTCTCTGCTCTGCTTCAGGCCAATGGTCAAAGACTTTAAGATGCTGCAGAGATGTGCAGCCTCTGGACTCTTTATAACGCTGGCCCCTGTGTTTAGCACATGACATTAGACATGTTACTGGACTTGGCTGCAGAACAGAGAGGGGTGAGGTGGGAACATCACTGACTCCGACAGATGAGTAAATCTTACAGCAGCTCCAACGTCCTCACCATGGAGATAGTTTTACTGTTTGTTGGGATGTTAGAAGCATTTTGTTTGACATAGCTGATATCTGATATGTGCGTTAGTTTCCTCTCACTTTTTTGTGTTTTTAGAGAATAACATTCAGTTGAACTGATTAAATACCAATTTGTGCAGTGAAAATTGGAAAAGGTGGAATAAGATCGTTTATATTCACTAGCCCTTACTTTGATTCTATTAAAGAAGGCGCCTGTTTTGCCGACACTTTTCTTCATACACGTTTAATTAATTTGATTCGGTGTCAGAGTGCTAGATTAATTATCTGCAATTAACACTTTTTTTCAGCTTAGCAAGCAACACAAACATTTTGTGAGATTCTTTTTTGTAACTGTTGGAAAATCCAGCGTGGAATCTTCTTTTGATAAATTATTTAATTTTAACCCCAAATGCTTCATTGTTTACGTTTCCATTTTAAATAACAACCTCTGACTTTTGGGCAAGTACATGAAGTGAACGTTTGAATGCCTGAGAAAACCCACTCCTAATGAGCCAAAGTTATAAGAAAAACAGATGGGAACAGTCTTGTAAAATGGCAAAAGGCTTTGAGGTTTAAATATTTTTCCATCTCTTTGCTGTTCTTTTGTTTTTTTTGGAAAGAAGTTCAACAATTTTCCTATATTTTCTCGTTGTGTCTTTAGCCTGGTGTTGGCCGGAGGCAGGAAGTGGAACAGCCAGGCTTTCTGATCACAGCAGTCACACACTGGAGTTTTGGATTGTTTTTACTGTGGAGAAATATTTTAACACCAATTCAGCTGTTGTGAGAACATTCACCTCCTCACATTAGCTCAAGTTGCACTCTCCACACTCACTTGGATCGAAGTCTGAGCTTGCAATGGAAAGAATTCAAAGTCCCAGTTATAGTGTTTATTTAAATAAAACTGGCAGGGTTTAAATCTGGCTCAAGCTACTTTTTTTCTCCAGGGTCCATTTATTCAGTCTGACTGTTTGTGCTTGTTGTTGGAAAAGGTTCTGTTTACGTACGTGCTGCACAAAACCAGGAATAACCGTTAAAAAAAAAAAGAAATGATTCTGCTCTCAGTGAGATACATTTATGTTCACTCTCCAAAAATGATTCTACAATGAATCACTGGCGATATGTCAGGATGGAACGTTATCAGTAAATAAAGGCTGTAATCATGTCTGTTAACTTGACATTTTAATTAAAATGTTATATTCTGCTTAAATGTTAACAGCTGCAGTAATATCTCATACCATGAATTTGATAGATGATAAATGTCTGACTGCCGCTGCAGCCCCTACAGACATTTATTGCACGTTCAAAAATAATGGGCTCGTAATTTATCACCCTGCTTTGAAGGAAGGGCGGGACAAGGTGAACAAGCTATTTTCGCCTTTGTGCACTTTATCAGAACGACCAATCGACTGAGACGTTGGATGCTGACTTGTGCTTGTTTTCTGCATCATTTAAGGTAAATGCAGTAACAAGGGGAATTTCAGAACACGTGACACAGGTGCTGTATCTCCTGTTTACTGTGAATTAGCTTCAGACACAGGAGTTATTGCATTCATTTTGACTTTAGGTTTATGACAGGTTATAGAAATATTTAAAGCAGATATGGTATGCAAAATTAACTAACAGAGTTTTCACCTTAATCAGTAAGTTTTAACCCTTTATTTTAAACATGTTTTTATCATATTTACATGACCAAAGCATTGATTTCTCTGTGGTGATTTGTTTCTGTTCTATGACTCAAAGTCACTGCTGCCTTTGAACAGTCTCTACTCTTGGTGCTGCTCTGTTTGTTTGGTAGTTTGTGTGGGTTGGACACCTGTATTGACATGGGGCCACTAAAACCTCTGTTTATCCAGAGGGATCATTTCAGCTTTATGTCCCCTTATTTAGGGCTCTACTTTATGAGCCATGATATAATAGCTGTAAAACTTTTATGTATTTGGGCTGCAGGCTGCCGCTGCTGAGAGAGATGACCTGCTTTACTACTCCCTGTTGGATGATGCTACCTGTTCCTTATAATATTCCTGCTCACGGTCCAGTACAGTAAAGGCACGGGTGATGATGTGGACGGTCATATTTAGCATTTTTAAGCTACATATGTGCTGCCTGAACCTGTGTTTCTGTACTTGTGTCCAAACTTACAGAATGACTGACAGCTCTTAGCTGTTCTCAAAGGCCTGTGTGACATTTGTGTTTAGTGCAAGGCAGGTAGGAGCTGCACAAAGAGGCATGATGATGGTGATGATAATTTTGGTTGTTACCTGTTGGTTTTTCTGTACATATTTTTTTTTCGGTTTACCATGGGTGTGAATGTGTGTGGTCTACCTGTCTTTCAGCCCTGACAAAGATTCATGGACAGATGGGTCTCGACAAACAACTGTGTTATGTGTTGAAAACTGCCTTGACCCAGCTTATAAATGCAGCTTCAGCTTATTCCTAGAGATAACTTTCATAAAAAAAATAATTAAAAAAAGGATAATACCAGTCAGCATACGTTTTCCCTTTGGGAGCTGTGCTGGATACGTTTTAAAGAGCAGAACAGTTACAGTCGTGTGTTCAGTTACAGTGTATTTTATCTATGCTACTGTATATAAATATATACCGTATATACATAGTCCACAGCTGTTTCTACTTCCCCATACAGCAACATGAGGCTCTGCTTTAATGAACAACATAGTGAACAATAAACTTACAATGTTTCAGGGCAGCTTAAAAATCCCAGTATAACGTTGTGCCAAATATTTGGTTCTTCTTCACTTCTCAGTCCTCTTTGCTCTGCTTTATCATTTAGGACTTAAGACAAAGGAAACATAAATATATATTTATAAATATATATTACATGCAGCTAATACAGATTTGTTTTTATTCGTCCACACACTACCATGTAAGTGTGATATACGAGCACCACGTCCATATGCTTGTCCTGTCCATTTGTCCTCTAGTTAAACAGCTGGAACAGAATATTATCTATTGAATGACAGATGAGTCTAACTGCATGGGCAGGTGGGGGCTATATTGAGCTCCACTCAGACCACTGAGGTCCACTTTGAACTCATAATTTCTCTCTTGAATGGAAAATGATAGCAGAACACACAAAGCTTAGCAGGGATGAATTATGTGCAGGAGAAAGGGATGCTTTACAAAGTAAACAAAGACAAACCTTTTGGCGACTCACTTAAACGTCAGAGAGCGTGTTTATTAAGTCAGTCGACTCTCAACGTAACTTAACCCTTTGGATAAAATAAATAGCATTTATATTGCTTTTTTTTAATGACACAAATTTCCTCAGATGTGGAAGTTAAATTAATTCCAGTCTGTTTTTGTGCCCTCTTGTCATTGCATCAAAATGAAAGGCTGTTCATGTTTAAACAAAGCCTGTTCTGCTCTGACGCAGACCGGTCTTTATTGTCCCTCTGAAGGTATAATGAGATCTTTGGGATCTCGCTTGACAGTGCATTAGGAAATTAAAAAAAAAAAAAAAAAAAGCAAACAGCACAACCCACACCCTGGAAACCTCTTTGTTTCTCTCTGTGTTTTTAATAAACATGTGAGGAGCAAATGAAAGGGAAGTGACTGTGTACATCTGCCCTTATAAGGTAAAAGAGAACAGTTTTATGGGGTGGTTGGATGAGAAAGTGTGTTTATCATTAATTTAAATTTACCTGACTTTGATACAGCATATTATAGATATCATTTACATATACACACACACACATATATATATATATATATATATATGTATGTATGTATAACATCAGCATGCAATTATGACCATTAAGAAATGTCATTCTGAATTTTTCTTTCTATTTGCACTACATTTGACATCAGGCAACTGCGAGATGCTTCTGGATGATTCATTCTGTGACGACAGGTGCATTTTTAGAAATGAAGAACATGAAGCTTGAGCATGAGTCAGTCCTTTTCTATGAGTCAGAAATCCCCCGAATAAACTTTACATTAACTTTAAAAGTGTTGGTAAATGAAGAAATTATATTGTTAATGTAGTCATATGAATTTAGAATGCTTTTAGGAGCATGAATTGTAATGCTTCTCACGGAGTTACTGGTTTACAATGTTTTTTTATTTTTTTGATTAATTTATCCTCAAAAAAGTCAGTGGAAGATGTTTTAAAATTTAAAATGATCATCTGTGATAAAGAGAAAAAAGCAGTATTCAAAAAGGAGGATGTGTTTTATCACATCTTTATTGAGTAGAGAATTGTTAACAAAACTCGGGGATGAACTGAATAAAGAAAAAAACAGGAAAAAAAAGAATAATGTGCCAAATTGCCCAAGGTGCTGAAGGTTGGAAATAAAATAATAATAGTATTCGTGCTTCATATTGGCATCTGTCTGTAGATGATGCAAGACTTTTGCACGGTAGCTTGTTGTTGTAGCATTAGCTGTGTTTTTATGGAGACAGACTGTACGTGGAGGGCTGTGTCACCTGCGTTTCCCTTTGTTGTGTTGATGAGAAGAGTGACACAAGTCATTATTTCCTTTTCTCTGTTTGTTCCATTTACTCCTATTCAGATGAGTTCCTCAAATGATGAAAGTGGGCACAGCAACAACAAAGGCAGCAGTCACTTTCAATACATGGTCACCTAGCAACACGTTCATGAAGATGAGGCACAGGATCGGTGAATATACTGAGATGATACAGACCTGTCCAATGCGGAAATCATACAGTTAACCACAAAATTGTAACGTAATTTTTTTTAACTATGTCATCTGTGTTTTTATACAGAGGAAATCATGTAGTTTCACCTGAGAAAGTAACATTTATATTTGCAAACAAAACAATACTACTGAACAAGACTCAAATATCACAACTACCAAGGTTACGTTTCTTTTTTTGTTTTTTTGAAAGACCTTTTACAAATGTCTTTTCAGAAATGTTTCTTAACAAGTTTTAGAACTTGCAAATGTCTATAGTTGTGTTTCTGCCCAAATAACTCCAGATAAAAAGACACATTTGAAGTATATTTTTTATATAAGCTAAATGTATGGTTGTTATCTTTGACTCTGTGGATATAGAGACAAAATTATATTTAGAATTGCTATTTAATTTAAATTATAAAAACACTGTTTCATAGCAGTGAATTTTAGTATTTGTTTTTAAATTTTGGATGATTCATATAACAGTAAATGCAACCTGAATTCAAATCAACTTAATGTGACTGGGCTCATGCACAAAATACAGGGAAAATTGCTCCACTTTGGTTTATCAAAAATATAAGTATGTAAGACATTAAATTAGTACAATTCTGATTTAAAAAAAAAAAAAACGTGTTAGAAAACACAACAGTTAAAAGAAAGGAAACTTAATGAGAGAATATCAACACTACGTCATTCAGGGGTTTATGTAAACCTGTACACGCCCTATCAACCGCTGAGGTATGGTCAGGTACATCACTTAACATTCATTCTGGGATGATGTCACTTCCTCTCTCTCCACGTCCTCTTATAAAAGCTGCTGCTCTCGCGGTGAGGTGTTGGTGGAGAGAGCAGAGAGGACGGAGGCTCACGGACGCAGGAGGACATTTAGCTCTCCAGAAATACCAGACAGGCGGATAAGTTTGGTTCAGGATGCGCCCTTAATCCAGCGCACTTTCTTCCGACGGAGAAAACAAAACAAAAAAAAAACAAACAAACAAACAACCAGCACCGTTTCTGATTCGAAGCTCCGCCGTTTTCCTATTCCTGGAGAGCTGATTCCTGGAGATCATCCAAACATGATCGAGAGAGGGCTGTTCGTTGTGGCTGTGCTGACCAACTGCGGTAAGACAACATAGACGCCGTTCGGATGATCAAGTTGAGGGACCTAAATGTGAGAGACTGCTCTCAGCACCAAGGACAGCGACAGTCCTTTATCGGCAGAATACACGCAGAAAATCCAGACGCAGATTCGCCTTACAGTCACAAACACTAACAAACAGCATGTACCTGCAACACCTGACAGTTAAAGATTCACAGCAGCAGATAAAAAAAAAGAATCGTTGAAGGAAATGTTAATTTTTTTTTTCTTTCTTTCATTGCAGTTCTGTCATTGCCAGTGACTTCAAGTCAGCTGGAGAATGAAGACGTTAAGGTAATATGAAATAAAATATTCATATATATATTCATCTATGTATCGTTTTTTTATTTTTATATGGTAGTAGCAGTTTATTATACTGTTGTCTTTGGCGTTATCACATAACTGTAGTCAGCATCTACAAGGCACTTGTGTGTTCTATTCAAAAGTAATAGAATTACACAGATTAAATTAATTTAAATGCAGTGACTTCTTGGTTACAGAGGACCAGGACCACTTTTTACTGCCTTGCCAAACGGTCGTATTGACTGCTGGTCTGATCAGTTTAACTCCTTCACTGTGTGCTATCACTACTGTGTCTCACTATAACCTTGTTAAAATCAATACATGTCATGCTCAGAGCAATGGAGAGCCTTGACCTTCATCATCCGGCTTTACTGGATCTGTCTCTCGGTAGAGCCGGAGCAGGAGTAATGGTGTAGTGTTCCCCTTGTGTGTGAGAGAGAGGGAGTGAGCGAGAGGGAGAGAGGGACGAAAGAAAATCTGTGAAACCAAGAAAAAAATATCTCGATTACAATTTGTTAGGTCTGCTACATATATATATATATATATATACACAGAGCTGTGCAAAAGTCTTAGGCTGTGACATTCTCATAAACAGAGGATTCATATATATGTATTGATATTTAAATATATATTAATCATGCTCTACAATGACAGTGCTGCCTCTGGATCTGTTATAAATAAAAGAAGAACATTTCTTGAAGTAAAATACAGTAGACGTTAGTGTGACATCTAAAAGTTTCACTCGTTGAGTTACTGACCTAGTTTGCACAGAAATGTGTTCAAAGAAAAAAAAAATTTAAATCATATTCCCAACTGGCTTTCAGTTGACAGTCATTAAATCCCCCAGTTAAATCTGTTAGATTATTTATTGCATCAGATCAGGATAAGAATAATAGTGAATCAATACGTTTAAAGAGAAAAATGATATGCAGTATCCAGAGCCTGTTCACGGTGTTCAACCCAGGGATGTATGTGTAGTCACACAGGAGTTCTCGTTCATTTTTGTGCACCTGCAGGTTATGAAGTGTATTGTGGAGGCTTTGGCTGATGTGCTTTCAAGGCCTCACCCTGTGCCTGTCAGTCAGGAGTGTCTGACTACACTGAGAACAGGTGAGTAATAAACCCAGGAAGTTGAACCACCATCCATATCCTGAAAACAGACAATGTGCTGCTGCAGCAAGTTGATTACCAATCACTCTGTTCATGAAATCATTACAGTTAAAACTGTCTGAGGTTAGGGATAGTCAACAAATGTAGCTCCTCGTCCTTTTACTTGGAACAGAAAGCCTGAAGACATTTCTGCAGTTTTAACTTGCTCTATTTGCTTCTGCTTTAAATTTAATATCCTGTTTTAAATCGGTTTGTTTTTGTTTTGTTTGGCGGAGCTACAAGATGCAGCTTAAGTTGTCTAATTCAATTGTTCTGCATTCTCCCTTAAATCAAAATCAGAGGAAACAGAAGCTCATTTCTTGTTGGCCTCCGTACTGCTCGCATAAATTAGAAACTTCATTTATTGGCTTTTCGTTGTGAGCCAAGTCAATGAGATATTAACCATAACTGTGTATGTATTTTTATTTAATTTATTTATTGTAATTAATGCTTGGCTTGTCATTGTTCGTTTAACGTTTTAAGCCTGTAAAGCGATAAGATTTGGTTAGAGCAGTGATTTGTGGAGGTTGTTTAAGACCATTTGCCCAGTGGGACTGGTGAAAAAGACTTCTGCCAAACTTTACTTTATCTCCAAAAGGGAAAATGGCTGTTAGAGAGAAGGAGCCTTTGGCCACATTCTCACGTTGGCTCGTTATTTTTCATCAAATACTCCAGTGACTCTTGAGAATGTTTGAGCTCATCTATTTTAAATATAATGATAAAGTATAGCACATTAGCTAATTGGCTCTGTTTGTTGCTCGCAGCTTTTGTTGCTTTAGCAGCAAACTCCAGAGAATTGTTTCCTCTGCTGCATTTCCATCTGCATTCGAGTGCATAAAGCCTCACTGACTTACTTATCTAAATAATAATGGATTGGCAGAATGAGTGGCTGGTTTAAAAACCCACGGTGGAGTGTTATGCACAGGAGGGTCGCTCCCTCTCAGGGAAGGCTATTTGGTTACACAGTCATTGTATTACCTTGATGCTGTCCTTGGAAAAAAAATCAATGTGAACACTAGTCTGTGAGTCTTCCTTTACTGAAGGAAACTATAAACCACCCGAGAGATGAGACATGCGGAGGGAAGGAAGGAGTTATAGTCATGAAAGCAAAGAGAAATAGGAGAAATACAGCCGTCGGCGAAGCATTGAGGATTTTTTTTTTTTTTGTGCTTGCTCTGTGCAGTACATGATTTCATCTGTGGGTCAGCAAAAAGTGCTGTCCATTCAGCTGCTCCACATCACCAGGGGAGTGGAGCTACTGAATGATTAATTGTGCTCTTGCTTGAAAACAGTAAATTTCAAGGCAATTAACTTTGATGCAAAACCACTGGAATAAAGTGATGAGTGATGGTAAAAACTGCAGGATAATAAAAAAGGGTGTTTGTCTCTCTGGTATAGTACAGTACAGTATGTCACATGTCCATCTGTGTTTCATTAATGTGTGTGTGCAGATGATAGACTTGTGACTATTCTCCGCCGTCGCAACTTTCTGAAGGAGCTGCAGGACATTGCAGTTCAAGGTGAGTGAACGGTTTCTCACACAACCAGAGGTGGAAACCTTGAATCACACAGTAAAAACTGATTGTTGATTTCAGGAGGCCGTGAGAGAGCTCAGCTCCAGAAGGAGGTTGTAGATCCGAATGCCACTCCAGAGACGACCCAGAATCCTTCTGGTGAGTTTCTCAGTTGACGTGTTTCTCAGGAATTTTAACTGTGACGTAGTGTATGTTAAACCTTACCTTTTCAATATAAAAAAAAAAAGCTGAGGTCAAACTAATTTCCAGGTCATGTACAGCGTGTACAGAAAACTGCCAGAGGCTGGAAGAACAGTTAGGACAGAACAAGAGCAGAACGGACACAAATGTTTTCAGGTTGATTATCTGAGGGCGTCTAAAGTTCGTGACAAACGTTGACACAGACTAAACTAAACTCCACAAATCTTTACGTTGTAAAAATGAATGCAAAATATATGAAAAAATAACCTTTGGAGTATTGTTTGTATTAGAACCACAAACAGTATATGATGCTCACTCTGGGTTGTGTATTCAGTAGTATTCACTGTGAAGTAATACACTGAATAAACAGTACCTGTGTCTCAAACCTGTGAGCTTATTGGAGACAGTTTGTTGTGTTGTGTGAAGGGTATTTGACCCATGGTATCAATATTCACACAGACATGGAAATGATTTCACAGTGTGACATTGTTAATGTTTTTTATGCGAATTAGCTCAAGGCAGTAGCTCCCAGAGAGCACAGAGCTACTGCAGGGGGGCGCCGCAGAGCAAATAAATTTGAAATTCAATCTTTGCTTTATTTGGTTTAATTTCATTTGTTGAAATTTTAAGAATATTCAAATAAGGAAGCTGAATCTCATGTGTTGCATTTTTAATTTTTCAGGCAGGTAGTGACATAACAGACACATTTGGATGAAAAATGTCCTCCATTTAATATCTCAGGTGATCATGTCTGATCACGTGGTTAAACATAACTTGAAAATCACTTTCCTGAATTTGTTCCTTTTTCCCTCTGCAGATCGAGCCATGCTGGAGGCCTTAGGGGGCCAGGGTGAAAGGTCCATCATTTCTGAGAAAAGAACAGGAAATGGGGATGAAGACGGAGAAAAGAGTCAAAGCCTAAAACATGGAGGCTCCGAGGAAGAAAATGATGCAACCAAGGAAGAGGAGAAGAGGGACAAAGACGAGAGCAGAGAGAGGCACCTCTCTGAGTCTGAAGAGTGGAGTAAGGAAAAGGCTGAGAAGAGGCAGGACGAAGAGGTGGAAGAAGAAGAAGAAGAGCTGAATAAAGAGAAAAGGGGGAATTCAGGAGAGGAAGCTATGACGAAGAATGAAAAAGGTATTTTTTTTGTTTTTGTATTTTGTAGTTTCTGGAAAGGAAAGGAAATACAGTTGATAAAATGATAACTAAGGAACACAGGTATTGTTTATTTTGAGTGTTTTCAGAAGTCAGATTTATGTTGACTTGTTTTTACACGTGCAAATAAAATGACCACAGCCACTGGATGAATCTTAAGAAACTGCCTTGTGGAGGAAAGTGCCTGCCAGGAGAGAAGCAGCTGATTGATGGAAGTGCTTCCATCTAGTAGATGAAATGCAGCCTCCACTGCTGGGGCACAAGGCCAATAATGCTGGCAGAGTGACAGCAAACCAGCTCTAATGATTAAACATCTTCACGTCTTGGAATTTAAATGAGCTGCTGTGCATTCGTTCACACTTACCACAGTCTCTTTCTACAACTGATATTCAAAATGTCATCAAATCTCTAAAGGGATTATTAGGGAGGTTTCAGGCTATTCATTGACTTTGAAGCAAGAAAAAAAAAATTTTAAAAGATTCGCTCATACAGTAGGTTTTCTTTTAAAGGCAGCTTCAGCCAAATCTTCTGATCACTCCTGCTGTGCTGTTAATTCCCATAATGCAAAGCTAGCAGTGCAGTAGGCCAGGCTGCCAGCTGGCAGGAGACATTTCATTACATGGAGTGCAATTTTGCTGATGGAATGTATTGTGCTAGTGGTCAGGTAGATGTGATTTAGAACAAATGTTTGCAGGGGAAAAAAAATAATCAATTTTGTATTTTTTATATGCCTAGGTGTTACAACTGAGGAAAAGCGAGAACAATCCACACACAAACTAAAAAAGGAACAGTTGCAAGATGGTGATCATGAGGAGAACGGAAAAGGATCCTCAATCTCCTCACACAAAAGAGAGGGGGAAGATAAGGAGGTGGAGACGAAGAGAGGGAGCAAAGACAACCTGACACGATGGAGCAAAAGAGGCAAAGGTTTACAGCTGAAGAAGAATGGTGAGGGGGAGGCGGCGCAGAGGGACAGCAGTCCACAGGAAGTGCTGCATCATTCTAAGGAGGTCTCAGCAAACGAGGAGGAAGAGAAGAAGAAAAAGAGAGACACCAAGAGGAGCCCAGAGGAGAAGGAGCTGCAGATGATCGCTGGAAGAGCCCCCGAGGAGAGAAGTCTGGAGGAAGAGGGCAGCGCTAGCAGGAAGTCAGAGGTGAACTTTTGTGTCTCTGCTGCCTGTCAACAGCAAAAATCAGTGATTAACGGTCTAAAACGCTGAAATGTCAGGCGAAAGCAAGTAGATACCATCTCTATCCTGTAGGGGGAGCCCTGGTCCAGGAGATAAATTAGAGAGTATATTTGTTTTATATGTTACACATATTAATATTAATATTAATATTAATATTAATATTAATATTAAATAATAATATTAATATTAAATAATAATATTAATATTAAATAATAATATTAATATTAAATAATAATATTAATATTAAATAATAATATTAATATTAAATAATAATATTAATATTAAATAATAATATTAATATTAAATAATAATATTAATATTAAATAATAATATTAATATTAAATAATAATATTAATATTAAATAATAATATTAATATTAAATAATAATATTAATATTAAATAATAATAATAATAATAGCCACAAACACGTGATCATCATGGCTGTGTGCTCCTCTGTCTCTCTCCCTGGTTAATCAGTTGATTACTCTCACCTGTGTCCTGTGCTCTGCCTGTTCATTAGTGTCACTCGTCTCACCTGGTGCCCAGGGTATATATATGTGTGTGACTTCAACACTTTGTTTGTTGATGTTGGCATGTGGTTGTTGCAGTGTGTTCATAGTATTTCCTGTTGGCTGAGGTCATGTTGAAGATGTTGATGATGTTTTGTGCCACAAAAAAAACAAAAAACCTATACAAATTAATGTATGCAGGCAATGATCAGTTAATTCAGTATTTACAGTTGGGCTGTGTGTTTTCTGTTTTGGCAAAGAGGCTAAAGAGCCACATGTGGGTCAGGAGCCCCAGGTTGCAGACCCCATACTTGGAGCTTATCTTTAAAAAATGACTCATTTACAGCTCACAGCTAAGTGTGCTGTGAACCCAATTCACTGCAAATGAATTTCAGTTACTACAGTATATAATAACCCTGCCTAATCTGTCTGAACTCTTCACCTTTACAAACTCTCTAATCAGTCTATTATGTTTTAATAAGAAAAACTGCAGACGTTTACTATCCAAAACAACACTAATAATATCTAAGTATTAATTTCTCCTGGTGTAATCAGAAACTGGTTTCATTCTAGTGGCACAGTCACAGGAATATGAACCTGTTTTGTCCTCTTATTATCTCTGCAGGAACCTGAGATTGAAAGCCTGGCAGCCATCGAATCAGAGCTGGAAAACGTTGCCCAGAAACTCCACGAGCTGCGACGGGGCTGAGAACCAGAGATAGAGAGAGAAAAAAGGAGAGATTGGCTGACACCGCAATCTTCTCTGCCTCCTCCTTCTTCACCTCCTCCTCCTCCCACGCTTCACCACCTGCCTGGTTTCCACAGATAGAGCGTGTGAATATGTGACAAGTTTTTATCTTTCACTTTCTCTCGAGGATGTCCACACTGCTGCAGCGTCCCTCGCTTCCACCACATACATAGAGTAGCGAAACATGTGCAAACGCACCAGTTCTCTGCATTAGAACAGATCCAACATGGCTCCCGAAAGAAAAAATGAAATTATTTTGTTAGTGAATGTTGACTGTTTTTTTTTTCTCCGTTTTCTCTGACAATCATCTCTGTCCTTCAACAGATTTATCCTGTCTGCTTTGTAAATGATCTAAACACTGCTGTCTGATTTAGGGGGGGAAAAGTAACATCCAGGTAAACACACACAGACACAGACACAGACACACACACACACACAGACTTATATATAATGACACACAATAACTGCATCAATACATGTACAGTACAAAGCTCTTTCTGAACTGCTTACCTACTGAAAAGGAAGAATAAATAAAAACCTGTTAATCAGTCTAGTCAAGCCAAGGCAATAACTGAACGTTTTTAACAAATATGGCAAATATTGTAACTGTATGAAGTTTCTGTAGGAAAAATTAAATTCTCTCCTGAAATCTGGTCATTTCTTTGTTTGTTACTTCGGAGATGAAATGAAGTCTTTTCCACTGCTCTTTTTTTTCATGTATTATACTGCATATACAGTATATAGTGTACACACGTGGTTCATAGTGAACGTACAGTAGTGAATGTACAGTAGCTTCTCGTTGCTAGGATTCATTTCACATGTTGTGATTCTGCACTTGTTTGTGTCTGTGGGCGATGGAGCTGAGAACATGAGTCAGCGCTTGGACAGTCAAGCTGTTTGTGGAGTGCATGTACTCATTTCTACAATGACAACATGTTTACCCCTGTTTTGTTATACTATGGTGGCTGCTGGTAATACGCGGGGACTTCAGAGTAGATGTGGTGTGCATGGTTCAGAACAGCAGAGAGAAAATATTTGCACAAACTCAGTGAAAGGAGTTAAAAATAGGCTGCCAGCAGAGAAGAAACTTTCCCAAGTTAAAGTTACAGCACCATATACTGCAATACGAATACAGTTCATCAGCTCTTTGCACAGATGACAATCCCAAAACTATTTTAGGATTGTATTGTATAATAAAACTTTAGTTTTAGGTCAGTCTGAGCTGCCATCTGTGAGAGCATCATTCCATAAACTGGAGGAAAAATTAGTTGTTGATCCTCAAAAGCAACAGAAGGATCTTATCTAGGACCCTATGATAAAAAGTCTCAAGAAATAAAGTTAGAATAAAATAAAGACGACTGAGTGCGACTGAAGCTGAGGTAGAGTGTTCTTCAAAGGCCAAGGAAAATGTAAATGTCAGCCGTATCGCTGATGCTACACTGTCAAATCACTGCTTTTTGAAGGCGATTTTAGTGGAATTTATTTACTGTAAACAAAAATAATTAAGTTGATTCAGACAAATTCATTAATGTACTAGCACCGAGATTTAAATAGAGAATGAACCTACAGTACCGCTAGAGGGCAACATTGGTCTACTTTAGGCGTATTTTCTTCCGTTTAGAATCATCTGAGATGGAGATTTGATTGAGACAGAATAAGCTTGAAGACATTTACACTTGTGTAATTTGTTTATATCACCAGAGTGCCACTGGTTCAGTTTACTGGATACAAATGCTTACAAACCTTTCTAATCTTTAAAACAGCACTTGAACACTGCACAGCAGAGGTGTTCAGTAAGGGGTGTGTAACCTCTTGGAAGGCCTTGGGGGCATTGGAGAAGGGTTAGTTTCTGCATTGTTGGCCCGTAGATCACCTACGACTTTGGTTGTTTAGCACGTCTGTGCTATATATTTGTATTTATTTATTTTTATCACTTTGGTTTCAGGTTAAAAGTCCTTTGTCTAGCATGTCTGGTGCATTTTTGATAGCAAACCAACTATCTTCATTGTGTTTTTGTCTTAAGTTCATTAAGACATTCTTAAGCTTAGGCTTAATAGGCATATTTGGAGTAAATTCAGGTGGCAGACTTCTTATTTAACTTATTAAGAGACAAAAGCTTGCTGTATAAATGGATATATATATATATATATATATATATATATATATATATATATATATATATATATATACATATATAATTATATATCAAATAAAGCTATATGATGTATGCATAATGTAATATAATACGGAATTATATAGGGGTCATTGTGAGTATTTTTTTCTATCAATAAGTACACCTAATATTCTGTTATTGAAGACACAGCACGAGAAAGTTTTGTATAAAAAATATAACATTTTATTTCCAGCTACAAAGTGAAACATGTAACATTTTTGTCACATTTCTCAATAAAATAGTGAAAAATACTGTGGACACATAGTACACTATCGTTACAATTCCAAGCACAGCACAAATTTGGCTTTTAAATTAACTTAAACTGTACAAATATAAACAACATTTACACAACGACAAGTCGAAGGAATGAAACAACGGTTTTCTTCCAGTCTTTTCCTCTACTTTTTGTACATAATAGACACGTCTTTACTTCTATAAACACAAGTTCTCTTCCTTCTGACCTGAGTCATGTCTCTTTTTATTCAGTGCTGTGGCAAAGCCCACTGTTCCATATCTGACCGTAAACTCTCATCCACATGCTGGGCGGAAACTCTGACCTTTCCTCTACTCTAGGAGGAGAGGGAACAGCGTCTCGTACAGACAAGGCTGACATTCAGGCCTGTGCTAACGCAAACACACACACACACACAAACACACGTACACACAAGGACACATTCAGACCTGTTGAGACAGGGGGAACACTGGCCTGCTGTGGTCTGCGTGTTCCCAACACAGCTGCTTAAAGATGGCAGGTCTGGTCTGGGTTTAGGGCGGGGTGGGCAGGAATTATTAGACACCTCTTTTCCAGAGGAGGTCAGGGTTTAGATAAGGTTTTAAATGCACACTGGAAAATGGTGGGTTTGTCAAAGAAAAAAAAATATTGCAACAGAACATGGCAGGAACCTGACAGCAGGTCTGTCAAAAGTAGACGTTATAGTGCAGGAATCTCTTGGAGCTGCCATGCAGCCCTCTGTCTGAGTCTCTGTGGCTGATACACACCAGCCACACAATACACACAGACACTTGGACAAGTGTCTGGACTAGTTTAACAATGTGAAAATGACAAAAAACAAAAACATAAATGTAACATATATACTGAGCTGCAAAATGAGATGGAGTTCTGATTTTTTTTATGTTTTTGTTTTTTTCAAGTCATAACCTCTGATTGTCCATCAGTGGCTCAAGCCATGTCTCCCATCATCTTCTTGTAATACATGGACTCGAAGATGTCGTTCTCCCCGGGGCAGTTGTAGTGGCAGGCGCAGGACTTGATGAACATCATGTGCTTCTTCATGACCTGTCCATCAGGGCATTTGAACTCCATAGGCAAGGTGGTGGTCCTGTGGGGGGTGCAGCAACGACCGTCCAGGCAGACGCCACAGAACTTGGGCCTGTAGGACTTGGTGGTGGTGCAGCCTGAGATCTCAAACTTCATGGGTTTTGAGAGTCTGGGAGTACGTATGCACTTTTTCCCCTTCTGCAGCGAGAAAATAGGAGAAGAACAATATCAGCAGTTGTTCTTTACTCGTTTATGGTTTCATGGAGAAAGTGTGAGAATAGTGCAGTCTGACAAAAACTCACCCTAATGCTCTGCTCCAGCTGGGACTCGCAAGGTCGCACCATGCACAGTCTGGTCTGTTTCTCAAGGCGGCATTCCCGGTTATCATTGGTGACCCTGGTGGAGATTCCCAGGCCACAGGTCTTAGAGCAAGCACTCCATTCAGTAGTCTGAACCAAGCAGTTATCCCTCATCATGGAGGGGTCTGGACCGTAGCTGTCCTCCTCCCTGTAGGCTGTAGACAGAGGAGGAAACAGAATTAGAATCATCTCCTAAACTCATTTGTGTCATAGTAAAAATATCACATGTGGCTAACTTACCAGGCAGCACAACTGAGCCCAGGACACTGTGTGTGTAGGGGGAGTCACATTCCCACTCCTCACAGCACTTCCCTGGCACCTTGACCCGTCTGGGCATGGGGCAGTCAGGGCTGGGCAGCCTGATGTCCATGGAGCAGAGGGGGACACAGCCCACAGCTCCGTCCAGACAGGTACACTTATACTTGCAGCTGCTCTGGAAAGTCTCTCCGCTCTTGTACACCATTCCTCCAAACACACAGGTGGCTCCCTCTCGAGCTGAAGAGGAAACAAACAGAGTCACGACTCAGCTCTGAGGACTCTCACTCCAGACCCCTGCTGTGCGAAACAGTCACATTCCAGGATGACTCACCTGTACAAACTCCAATGCGTCTGTTAGTGGGGGCTCCAAAGTCGCAGTAAAGGCCCTTGTGTGGGTCACACACGTCTTTCTCAGTGCAGAGCTCCCCCATCTGTTTGGCGCAGACCCTGCAACAGCCACAACCATCCAGAACCAGACTCACTCCGGCTGGGCAATGAGGGGGAGTGGAGGGACACGAACACTGGCCACTGCACTCCTGACCTGCAGCCTGAGGTAAATATGACATTCATACAGTACATTATAGCCACAGCAAGCTAATACAACACAAAGTAATAATCCAGATTTAAAATAGTTCAAGCACTTGGTGAAAGACTGAAAGTCTGACTGAAACTGCAATAAAACACACTCTTTGTAAAAAGAAAAAAATGGACTCACCATGCTTGAGAGGATGATGCAAAGGAAAGGCAGCAAAATCATTTTCTTCATTCCTGCAGACATTCTTTCTCCCTTGTAGAAATAAGTTCTAGTTTTTCCTTCAGTTTCGTTGAAAAAGTCTTCCTTGAGTCTTGGAGTTTGAGCTCGAGAAACCGTCTCTGATCAAGTTGATCTCTTGTCTTGTTTTAGCTGGTGGCGTTTCTCTGCCGCTCCGGTCAAAGTCGTTCTTTCTTTCTTGGTGAAAGCTAGAGTTTAGCTTCAGTAGAGGAGTTGATCTGAGTTTTGACTGGAGAGGCGAGCTACATTTATACTCGCTGGTCCTCGCAGCACGTCACTGGGGGCTGAATGGAGAGCCAGCCCTGGACAAACATGGACATACTTGGCATTCTTTCCTCACTTCCTGACCCCCCACTCCAGACATCCCACATTCCGGCGGTCTGAAGGCATGGCTCTGCTGCTCGGCCAAACAACACTGTCTCTCTCAGAGCAGCTTTCATCTGGAATAGGAGGTTAAGTCTGGTTAGAGACCAGAGACCCCACACTGGGAATTCCTGAAGACTGACTTCACAAACAGACAGTCGGTACCTATTAATATTAATTCAGAAAAAAGGAGAAGAAGAAGAAGAAGAAGAAGGGGGAGAAAAAAAAACTTGAGTACAGTTCAAAAAAGGAAACACAATTAACTTTACATGAAAGGCAGTTAAAGACAGTTAAAAAAACATGTTTTGATTTAATAAACAGATGAATGTGTGAAGAATATGTTAATGTGTAATTTCATAACGACATTCCTCAGCGGTCTGTGATTTAATAAATGAACAGCCAGTGGTGAGGAAAACAAACGTAACTGTATCATTAACTTGAGCTGACGTTCTCTTAAGGTGATCGTTACAGGTGAAAGTTCTGCAGTTTCACTTTTTTCGTGCGTGTGGTTTAGTCTGAGAGCCAGCTGTGGCAGTGACATCAGTGGCTAAAATACATGTTCCAGTATTAGTCACCTAAACACATGTAGCTGCACGGGCATGAATGAATACAGGAGTTTGGTCCAGCAGTATTTTACCATGTTAATGTTTGGTCTTTTCCATAATCAATCATGATTATTCGTGATTAATAAATGAAGTTAACAGAATTTAGCCAGCCAGCATTCGTATGCATACTACAGTTTCCCTGGTGGCCTGTAGGGCCACACAAAAGGCTCAGTTCAAACCGCTTTGTATCCATGTAGAACAACCACATGGACCTGTTGAGTTTGTAGTAGGTCCATTTTACTGCTGATACTCAGCAAAATTCTGTGAATGATTTCATTCTTCCAAGGCTGGCCTCGGTACGAGACCTCAATAGATTGTTAACACAGTAGCATCCATGCAGGTGCAGTATTATACTGTAACCACCAGTGTCACGGTGGTGCGACTTTCAACTATATACAGCTGCTGTAGGTAGATTACAGCATGTTCTATACACGGGGTCGATGGGTTTGAAGGTAACTTAAATGGAGCAGAAGAGAACGTTTTTCTTAGATTTTTCTCAACAGGAGGTCAAAGGAAATTCAAACTTTTTCTGTCTCACAGGAGGTCAGAGGTGTACAGCCACACAGAGCAGCAGTCACTCAAGGATGTAGTACATGTGGAGGAGCTAGGGTTGGCGGAGTGTGACCTCAGTTCAGTCCAACTTGCTGTAATTATCTCCTGACTGAGTGTCATGTGAGTCAGGGGTTACCAGCTCAATATTTTCTTTATTGCGCCACCTGCCGAGTAGTGATGAGGAGTTACACACTTTCTGTTGAATAGGCTGCTGTATTTCATAGAGTTTTTACACCTGAAATGTAATTACAGTAATGACAGTATGATACAGTACAGTACTGTTATGTCATGTATATATCTGTTATTCAGTGCAGTCGCAGGAGGATTGGAGGCTCTGTGGTCATTTTCCTGTGATACCTGAGCACAGACTACACAGTCCTGCCAAGGTATGCAGGACGCTGATTAGCGGATAAAGAGTAATGATCCCAGGTATTAACTGAAATGGGTGTTTGTTAACACAAGCATTGGGTTTCCTTTCCTAATTTGTGCAAGTATGTCATTTTTGAACTGACATTTAGATTCTTCTGAACACAAAGGCTGGAAGTCTTTTCCATGTTTGTACTGGCACTTGGACTAAACTGGGTCTTAGAGAGAACAAATGATGATTAAAAATCCTGAGTCGACCTAAGTAAGTACATAAGTCCATCCTGGCCCGTGTTGACATGTGCGGCTGACTTACCGGAACAAGAGCTACATGTTCTTGGACTTCTCACCTGCCTAATGAGGTTTAGTCTAAGATCAACTTGAAAGTCCAGGTGTGCCTCATCCCTGGCCAGGCTTATTTTACTACATCAAAACCCAGAGTGGAGGATTGCAGGAAAGAGGCGAGACAGAGGTTTGTGTATTTTTTTTTTTTTGCAAAAAAAAAAAAGAAAAAAAAGGTGGATCACACACCAGGCCAGACTCTTATGAAAGACGGCCCTGCTCCTTCCCCAGCCAGCGAATCGGAAATGAAAGACTCCCAGAGAAACCTGGAGCTGAAGGAATGCTAGTGAGAAGCCAGCAGACAGGGCTGTTACTACAGAGGAAGCATCCCCATATAAGGACGTCTGTTCTTTTCCTAATATGGATAAGTTCTCTCTCTCACTCTCTCTCCCTTTCAGTGCTGGCTCAGTACAGTAGGGACTCCTACTAGACTAAGGAAAAACACAGACGTGAGTGAAAGTGTGGTTTGCATGGAGTATTCTGTCCTGAAAGACTGGCCAGAGAATGTGCAGCTTGTGTGTGTGTGCGTGTGTGTGTGTGTCACTCTATGATATCTAAAGGAAACAGCTTGATGGAGAAACGCACTCCAGCCACGCTGCACAACAACAGTCAAACGTGTCTGACACTGTTATCTTGCGTACAGAGTAATCTAGTGTCTGACAGATTGTTTATGAAGTCGGTGTATCTTACATTGTAGGGAAGTTCCTCGAATGTTTTTAAAAGAATGTTCATTTCTCTTCCCTTTAAAGACCTTTGAAACACCCGAGATGTAAACACTTTGTCAGACTGTTTTGACAGATGAGTGAAGCTGAATACTGTCCTCCCTGTTCCTTATTGTTTCTTGTTTGTCTATGACATCACAAGTTTGTTTGGGTGCTGGAAGTTTCACTCTCAGATTGTGAATTTACTGAGGTCAACTTGTCGTTTCCTTATTTTCAAAAGCAGGCTGCGCACTCACTGTATTGCTGAGTTAAAGGTGTGTATGGCCTGACTGTGGCGGCCAAGGCAAACATATGTCTCTGTGTGTGGTAGGCTCAGATATGTCAGGACTAAGTATAGGCCCAGATATTTGTCTAAAAGAGGTGAAAATCAGCCATCAGAACTGTGGTGGTGATATAACGTCTGCTCAGCTCTGGCACTAGTGTTGTGAAACATACCTGGGCAAGCTGTTTCTCTTTAAAACTTCAGCACTTGTGCACACTGCGAAAAGCGATGGCGTTTATCTGGTCGGATTAGTGTGTGACGATTAATGGTTCAAAAATATTTATTGCAGAATAAAAACAGTTTTATCTCAAACTGTCAACCGTTGCCATAAACATTATTAATAATCATCCATATATTTTTCTGTGTTTTCAACACAGGAAAACGCTGTTGCTGTTTGGAAGTGCATTGTCAATGCCATGATCTCCAAGCCATAGGAACATTTATGTGTAAGTTTATCACTACATACATTATGAGTGTAAGCCTTTTGTTTAATACCCCGAAGACTACTTTGGCAAACGTGTCACTGTATTTATTAGTTGCTGACTCTGTTTTGCACTTGGATGACAGTTTTACAGCTTATGTTGCTGGAAACAGTGGTTTGTTGTGGAAATAGTGACGAGAAGAGTGAATCATAAGAGCCAATAAAGATGAGGGTTTCAATGAACGAACTCTTTCACTCACAACTGATGATGTGATTTGTTGTCATTGCAAACATACTTGTTTTATTGCTGCGGAGATAATGGAGAGGATCACTGTCTCGTACTATTACTGAGTTAAACACTGTAGGAAGTTCATTTGTAGGAAGTCTGTCTGACAATAGGAGTGGTCTATATTCATTTAGGTCAAGTGACCCCTACTGGTATTTCAGGCCAAGGTTTGACTTCTATTCTAGTACGAATTCATCCAGGCCAATTCTAGTCTTATTACATCACAGTTCAGTTTATAGTAACCATGACATCACATGGCCCACCAACAGCACCAGCTGGAATCAGTCCAATTTTAGAATCAGGGCAGTGACACATTCTGACCCAGCTACATTTTTTTCTGCGGTGACGACACTGTCCTCAGTTAGTTTCTCCCTCAGCTAAGTGGGAATATTTCACAGGCTTCTTAAACACCCAACGTGTCCCCTTCCATCGCACCACTTTTGGTGATGTCATAGCTTAGTCTGATGTCACAGTGGAGCCCTCTGTGTCTTGTGGGATATTGTTTGGCTGTTTCCATGGTTTTTGCTCCACACTGTTTTTATTTATTGCAACTGCAGTCATACCTGAAAGGCATCCCAACAGAAAGATAAATATCAAAAATAAAAAGGGGTTTTCAGTCACGTAAAAAAAACGTACTCTGGATGCATTTATAGTCGACGTAATCCTCTGTGCTATAAAAACAACTAAATCATCTGTTTTTAGGTTGGATGTACATTTTATTGTTTGTGGTTTGGAGGCTGTATGTTCTGGCCCTCTGCACACTTAGTTACATAACGGCTTCTCTTTTTATTTCTATTAGCTCTGACAGCGTTTGAACACATGTAAACATGTTTTTATTTCAGATTCGCTTCCCATGCTTGAAGTTTTGGTTGTGTTATCTGCACTCAGCTGCCCATTAAAGTGAATTCCATTAGTGGTAGCTGGCAGGATATTTGAGGAATGTTCCATGGCTCTAGCCTTCAAACCAACCATCTATATACCACTCTGTAAACTGAACATGAAACCAAGATCACAAAACGATTTTCCTGTCTGCATATTTCTGCTTCTTTGAACTCTTGGACTGCCTACAGAGAGACGTGAAAGTGGAAAAGTTGAAAACAACATGGCTACAAAAGTAGAGAATAGCGTCGGTGCAGTCCACTGACATTTTTGGAATTTGGATCGACTCAAATAAAAATATATTTTGAAGCACGAGTGCTTTCAGCCAATTATTGTCCATTTATGAAAGAAAGGTAGAAACCTGCAAAAACAAAAGTGAAACACGCAGTGGTAATGTAAGGTGCTGCTGTTTTCATCATTTGCCTGCAAAATCACTTATGAGGAAAAGTTTAAATGGATGGTGACCCGTGATGTTTAACCACGAAGAGGGGACGAATCCATTAGTTAGAGATGAAAGACTTGGATACTGATGGAAAAAACTTTTGAGGCCTACCATTGAAGACAAGCAGTGGAAACTAATGATGGATCTAATGTCCTGGGATGATTTGCTGAGAT